CTGCCATTTTGAACAAACCAAGGATTTGACAATAGATTTATAAGTTACACAGGGTTATCAAGATGGTGCACCATCCACAAAACACAACCTGGGGACATGGAAAACCAGACCCACTCATGATTTTTCATTGTCACCATGATCATGCCAGCAACCCCCTAATCTGATATGTTGATTGGAAAGTCTGTTGTGAGAGGCACCTCAAGCAGTTCTTAAAGACATTAAAATTACAATTACAGGCATCAAAGAGGATGTCAGCCAACATGAGGATTCTTCGTGTTTGAAGGTTGATCGGAAGAAAGGGGGACTCACCAAAGCTCACAAATATAGAGGGACTGTAAGGAGAACCCTAACAGCAATGGGAAATGTTCCAACAGCAAAGAGGTGAAGAAGGGATGAAGACCCCTCTCAAATTTAGTTTAATCATAGAGCTGTGGCTGTAGGGAAACAGAGGGATCGACAGCAACAAAAACAACAAACAATACAGGAAACCACGAGGATGCAAGACTCCTCGAATCCTTTTTGTGTTTATCCCAACAAAACACAGAGGGTCAGAAGGATTTTCAGTGGCAAGTTCTAACAGAAGTTCCAGAGACTGACCCACAGGCACACTTGGAAGACAGGAAACAAGAAACAGTGGAGCCCCTACTGCCAGATGATAGCCAACAATCTGAAGTAGACAAAACTCTGATTTTAGCACCTTCGAAAACACAGGTTCATCAGGACTCTGTTCTCACACAGGAATCCCTCTAGGATCCAGAAAATACCCAGATTTACAGACTGAGATTAAATGAGAACTCTGGATTTGGGTTCAATAGACCCAGATTGCCCCCTTATCTATCTTTATGGTCCAACCCTCAGCTCCCTAGCTCTGAAACAATCAAGACCCCTCAGGATTAACTGTTACCCCCTACAAACTGTCCTTTTACAGTTTTATTCTACTGTCCAAATAATACCATGATCACTTCCTGTGTGACACTGTCATGTGACCAATCAGGTCACAGGACATCCTTAAGCAGATGTTGCTCAAGGTTGTCTGGTCATGTAGCTACTCTGAATAAAAAACAGCGCTCACATTTTCTGTTAGTTCATTACATAACACTGTGACCTTAAATGACTCCACCTCTAAATCTGTTTGATGAGCGAGCTCTTCATCCCTGTCGGAAAACACAAAATCAAAAATAACCAGCAGAGACAGCCGGACAGGAGTGCAGAGGAGGGAAGCGTGACGGACAGAGATTATCTTGCAGAATTTCAACGTCAAACAACAACACGCTAATCCTCTGAGCACTCAGATAAGATGCTCACAGATGACAGATGTATGTGTGTGTGTACGTGTGTGTGTGTGTGTGCGTGTGTGTGTTAATGAGAGAGGATCTGAATGCCCACATCTGTCCTATAAAAGTGTGTCAGTGTAAGAGTGTGAACATGTGTGTGTCACTAATGTCACTAAAGCTGCTGCTCTCTGATAGGCTGCTGCCCACACACTTGATATGCCCCCTGCCGCCTCTGTGCTGTGTGTATGGTTGAGGGGGTGAGAGGATGAGGGGGCAGAAAGTGGAGGCGGGGCCAATGTGAGCAGAGGAGAACAGCTGTGGTGAAGAGACGCCGTGTTTTGATGCTTTCACCCGCAAGGACGCAGCTCAGGTACCACTCCTCTCCTCCTCTCCTCTCTTTTCCTTTCTTCCTCTCCTCCTCCTCCCCTTCATCTCTGTGGGCACAGACTACTCAGAAACTTTCCCAAACTTTGATAAAAACTCAGGTGTTGTGAGGAGTCTTTTTGTTGTTGAGGTGTAAATGTTGGAGGTCAAATCAGTGGTGAGTTTGGATCCAGAAACTTAAAGTATTAAAAGGAGTTTCTTTTAAATCAGGTCATTTTTCTCTTCGGCTGTGAGTAGTTTTCACCCAGGAAAATTATCTGACTGGTCACATCAATAGATCAGAGTGTGTGCTGCTAATGTTCTTAATTTTTCAGTCAATTTTATTTTTATTTTTTTTTTCAACTATTTTTTTTATTACAGTTGTTTTAGATCTACAGAGAAGTCCTTTCAGGCAGATTCATCTGCGCTTTTGGGTGAACAGACTTTAGTATGTCATCAGTTTGGTGAAGGATTTTCCCAACTCTGGCTTAGTGTGTAGAGTTATGGTGAAGGTGTGTGTGTGTGTGTGTGTGTGTGTGCACTGACAGCGTGTCTTAACAGTGTGTCTTCTCGCTGTTACATCTCATGGTCTTCTCCAACTAACAGAGGGATTGTGCTCATGCGGGTCATAGATTAGTGACTGTGACATTACTGTCACACTGAAACATGACAGCTGCACATGGTGTGTGTGTGTGTGTGTGTGTGTGTGTGTGTGTGTATGTGTGTGTGTACATGTGCTCCTGTTTTCAGATCTATGTTTGGACTTGTTTCGCTTCATTTCCTGAGTGTGTGTGTGTGTGTGTGTGTGTGTGTGTGTGTGTGTGTGTGTGTGTGTGTGTGTGTGTGTGTGTCTGTACATATGTTTGTGTGTGTGTGTCTGCTGTGCATAAGACACTACAGACACTTATTTTAAAAAAATGTGACTACTTTGGTAGAAATATTGACTCATTATGTGGCTAACCAAAGTCTGACATTTACTCACCACACACCACACATATAACCTGTCACTAATTGGTGTTTAAAGAGTACATTTCAGACCCTGCATGTTTCTACTTTTTATTTCATTAAACTGTTTATAACTATTCAAAAGATGTTAAGGAAATCTGAGGAGGCCAACAGTCTGAACTGTGAGAATAGCATGTTATACTATAAGTAAAAGTCCTTTAAGTTCCTAACCAAGTATTTAAAAAACAAACAAAGCCAAGTGTTCACAACTAAGCACCAACCAAATATTCCAAACACAAAAGGAAAAAAAGAAAAATCAATAACCAGATAAATGATTGAAAACATTAAAAAAACAAGCATATAAATCAAGTATTTTAATTTGAGTGCCAAGCCAATTATTCAAAATGTATTGTATTATTTCAGTGAGCTGTCTTTCTGATACAGCAGCCCCATGCTTTGAATTATGACCACTTCAGGATCATTTAGTAACTGTAATCAAATATTGGTCATACACAAACCATGTGTTTAAAACTTAGCCTTGAAAACTGAGAACAACAGTAAGTATTGAAATATTTCCTGTAGGCTTCTGTGAACATAATATAGTATGTTTAATTCAGGGTGCTGTCACTATTATACAAAAACCCCATACTTTGATCTATTACCACTGAAGGAGCACTAAAACATTAGTTTGGCACCATGGAGCTCTTTGGATCAAGTGAGCCATAATCAACATGTTACACTCAGAATAAAGCAACCAACTCACTCACAATTAAGGCGCATAATGTGGGCTTTATCTCCAATAACGCTTCATCAAACAGTCACAGTTTGATCCAATGTAGTCTCCTGACTACATGTATCACATTTTATCCTGTATAAAATTAGGATGATTTTTTTAGGAATTGTTTCATCTTTACCTATCATGTTTAGATATTCAATAAAAGTTAAGTATAAAAGTGAAATATGAAAGTAAAGTAATGTAAATGTCTAATGAATCTGATGGATTATTATCACGTGGGTGTCTCGTCATTTTCTTTATACAACATGTAAAAAAGTGAGAGTTTAAGCTGCGATCTGTGGCGGTCATGTCAGAGATTAATGGTAGCAGTAGCTAACAGAGATTAATGCCTACTGGTTAGTGCGTAAACTACAGGAAACACTCAGGAAGATGAACTGAACATGCATGTGTGTAGATGTGCATGCATGTGTGCGTGTGTGTGTGACCTTGTTGTTCATCAGCTGGTACAGAGAGAGGCTTGTAATGATTTGCGCTGTTGAGCTCTGCTTGACGCAGTCAGGTGAGTGCTTTGCTGGACTGTATGACCTAAAAGAGGATTACGTCCTCATATGGGACCACTTTTGTCGTTCATAGGTGACTCTGCTGTGAGTGGGTTCTTCATAGGTGACTATAATGTGAATGTGCCATGAAATCTTGGTAATCATAGTTAAAGTGGAATAATAATCATATCCCACCAGTATCCAGTCAGCATCATGTTTTTGGCGCTCAGTTGGGGTGGAACATGATGTCACATTAAAAGGTCAGCATCCCCACAGCAGCAGTCAGGTCAGGAAAATAAAAAAAAAAACACCTTTTCTTTATCTAAAATCTAGGTATTTTCGATAATGGCTGTCAGAGGACCCTCATTTTTATATATAAGTCATCATATTCATGTAGTCTGAAATGAACTTAATTTAAACTGTAAGACATGACATTTGGGTAGTCTGAAACGAGCTGTAAATCTGAAACTTTATTTAAACTGCATCAAAGAACAACTGAACTGCTTCTGCATGGTTGTATCTGTATTATAAAGTGTGTTGTACAGTGTTTTTACAGTACACAGTGAGTTTGTGTTGTGTAAAATGCTTTGAGCATGTGCCAGGCGGCCATATTGACCTGTCTGAAAAACTGCCTACCCTAGGCTACAAGGGGGAAAAAAGTGATGTATCAATATTAACTCAAATTAGTCTGGGATAGATATTGACCTGTGTGGTCCTGGATCCAGGAAACACAGTGAGCTCAGTCATTTCAATATTAACTGATGGAGCATTTCTTTTATAACCCCATGTCAGAGTTTAAATTAGGCAGAGGAAACACCAAGTTTACCTCTGATTTATCAGATAATTAGGGAAATTAAAAAAAAAAAGACTAACCTTAAAACACAGACAAGTAAAGTTGATTCCCCTCATTCTGCAGCAGCTCAGAGACACAAGTTAGCAACAACATTCAAACACCGTAATAGTACTAAAGATGTCATGGGCATAAAATGAGCATGGGCATTACTTTGAGGTCATTTCATGACTACAAAACTGTCTAAAAAGCAACACCCCAAGTGGTTTCTTAATTTCTTTCATGGTAAGGTGAGGCTTGCAGGTCTCCTTTAAAATTTACAGATCACGAAGAGTCTGCAGTTTATAAAACCCTACGGTGGCCTGGAAGTGCAAAACACAACCACAAAAGAGGAAACACGACAGTAAATCACATATGCAAACACAAAAAAGAAAACACGACAGCAAATCACATATGCAAACACAAAAAAGAGAAAACACGACAGCAAATCACATATGCAAACACAAAAAAGAAAACACGACAGCAAATCACATATGCAAACACAAAAAAGAGAAAACACGACAGCAAATCACATATGCAAACACAAAAAAGAAAACACGACAGCAAATCACATATGCAAACACAAAAAAGAGAAAACACGAAGGCAAAATCCCAAAACGCGACAGCATCGTCTGTCTTCTTCTTCTTCTTCGTTGTAGTTTAATGGCAGTTTTCTCCGCTGGGGGTGGAGTACTACTGCCACCTGCTGGAGTTTGGAACGGGAAAGTAAACATGAACATGGACGCCGAAAGCGAAAGTGTACTCGAAATTATCCAGCAATATTTTGATGCAGGACACAAATATGACGTAATAGTCGACATGTTGTGTAGCAGAACACAGTAATTGAACATCCCTTAACTTACTTGATGGACTGTCACCGTCTGCTTCTTGCAGCCTTTTCCTACAACTGCTGCAAAAGTTGGGTTGTCCGGGGAGCTCTTTGCCACAGTATTGGCAATACATCATCACTGACTGTCGCACCGCGGTTCGTGTCTTTCCAGGTCAAAGGACAGACGAGTCGATTCGAGTGCTTATTTTCCCATTCCGACATCGATCCAGCAGGTGGAGGTAGTACTGCACTTCCAGCGGAGTCTGCCATTAAACTACAACGAAGAAAAAGAAGACAGACGATGCTATTGTGTTTTGGGATTTGAGGTCTTTTTTGTGTTTGCATATGTGATTTGCTGTCGTGTTTTCTTTTTTGTGGTTGCGTTTTCTCTTTTGCGTTTGCGTTTTGATTTGCCGTCGTGTTTTCTCTTTTGCGGTTGTGTTTTGCACTTCCAGGCCACCGTATAAAACAGATCTGCTGTTAAACTCTTATACCTGCCGTAAAAACACATGTACCCTCCTAACCTGCCTGCAGCATGCTCTCCTCTAACAGGTGGACTAAGTGTGACGTCATATTGAACGTGTCCATTTAGGGTGAGACTTTATTAAGTTATGTCCTTGTTGGCCCAGCCCCCTTGTTAGATGGCTATCTGTTACAATGTGGAAGTCCTAGGGGGAGAGAGAGAGAGAGAGAGAGAGAGAGAGAGAGAGAGAGAGAGAGAGAGAGAGCTTCCTGTCAATACAGATGTATCTGTTCCGCTCTAATTCGCGGACATCAGAACAGATCGATCCTCTCTCTCTATCTGCACACACACACACACACACACACACACACACACACACACACACTCGGCCGTCAGCCTGAATGCTTCCGTCCTCGCGCCAGCGGGTGGCCGCCTGGCTGCTCGCGTTGCCGTTAGGTAGAGGTGGTGAGGAATGCGCGCGCCGCGGCCGGCTGGAGATGATCTCGTTTTGGCTGCTGTGTTGGAAGCTGCTGGTAAGGTATACACACACACAGCGGATTTGGCTTAGCTGGAGCTCCCATGAAAACCCGCTTCCTGGCTTCCGTAGTACCGCTTATCTGTCACGATTTTGGTGCTTTTCCCGGTGAGAGGATGCTGACTTATGTAACACATGGAGGTCTGAGAGCAGAGATGGAGATAACAGAGCCAAACATCATCATAGGAGAATAAAATACACAGCAGAGCCCAACGTCATCTGCGAGACATTAACATGACAGAGCAGAATCATGGAGGCATGAAAACACAGCAGGATCATAGAGTCAGGATCATGACGAAGCAGAACTGATGTAGATGGTCAGAAAAAAAGAGGCTTGGTTGGTTAAAAAAACAGAGCAGAGAAAAGAAGAGAGATTTTGAAAAAAAAAAAAAAAAAAAAGGATGCTTCCCTCATCATCTTCTATGGACTGATGCTAAAACTGCACTGTAATCTGTCCCAACACAAATGATGATGACAATGTTTCCAGATGGTGTTGGGGACATAGAGAAGTTCCAGTCTGAAAATGAACTCACTATGTGAGAAAAGTAAAAAATGAAAAAAAAAAAAAACTCCCACTGTGAAGATGTGCAGATTACAGTGAAAGTGTGTAAATAACAGTGGATGTGGGAAGGAAAAAGTGGAGGTATGAAGATTAAAGTGAGGGTGTGGGGATTACAGCGAAGGTGTAAAGATTACAGTAAATGTGTGTTGTGCAGATTTCAGTTAAAGTGTGCAAATTACCCAGCGAGCATTTTGAGGTTGATTATACGTCGAATATACGTCTAAATTTAGACTAGACGTCTAGTCTAAATTTGGTATAACAGAGGTATAGAAATGAAAGCTTTTTCAACGTCGAAATTTATACGTTTTTTCAACGTCAAAATTTATACGGTGTTTCAATGTTTTGATTTATACGTTGTTTAACCGTTTTGATTTATACGTTGTTTAAACGTGTTTGTTCATAAATTGTTCTGTCTATAACGTTGAAATGACGTCCAATAGACGTTTTCATTTAAACGTCTTTATGTTAGACGTTCATATGACGTTCATGCTTCTACCAAATATAAACCCAGGTATAGACATAGACGTTGATTAAACGTTTGTTAGACATCTGGTCTAAATCCGCCGACCCGGCGAGCCTCCCCGCGTGGACGGTCCCGGCAGCGGCGGCCGCTGGAGCCCGCGGGTCCCCGGTCAGCCTACGGCGCCGACCGAACAAGTCTGTTAAACTTTCATTTCTATACCACTGTTAAACTATTTTTAGACTACAGGTCCAACGGACGTCTAAAGGCACAATCGTTCCTTGTAAATATTTTAATAAATTTACTAAATATCAACAATGCATATTACCATAAGCATCTGATATATGTAAATTGATGAAAATATTCACAGGAAACACCATCTGTAGAGCCAGATTCTCTACACCAAAAGTTACCTGCTGCTTACCTTGATACACATACTCCCAGGATGTTCTATTTTGGCAATGTTGCTTTTCTTTCTGGACCTTTTAGAATATTTAGCTTCTACAGTCATGCTCATTCATAATTTAACCCTGATCTACATTTGGCAACGATCAGTCCACTGTAATTGAAATCACAGTACATTTTTCACTCAGAATATAACCATTACAGTCATGGAGTGGGAAAAACAATTTTTTAATCTCACATCTAGTAAAATGAACATTTAAAAAATAAAAAAATCTATATATCTATATACAAACATAGCTACAAAGTATAAAGAACAAGAACAACAACATAAAGAAAAATTTAACTAATACTAATGCCACAGTAACAGAACACAAAAGTACTGAAATGAACTATAAATATGAACAATTTTAAGATATTTATATTTTTTAAAATTAGCAGGGTGGTGTTCTGGTGGTGCCCCTCCCACCACGTCGAGCTGGTGCCTGTTTCAAATGGTCCCCAATCGATGCTGCAACCAGTTCCTCTGTTGCTGTCGGGAAGTTAGTGCGAACAGACTCTGCGAAAAGAAAAAAAAACCAAAAGAAACTTGAATCATAGTAAGTGTAGAAATTATCTAGTATTGTCTTCTTCCAAGGTTGTATTGAAAGAAGTACTTCCTAAAGTGTCGTCTGTTAACTGGCCAGATTGACTTGCCATACCCTCCTCTTGTGTGTCCTCCTGTGACACATCCTCATCACTGGTAAATTCATCTAAGAAATCACCCTCCCTAGCTCTTTTTCCCCACCACTCTTTCAAATAATTAGAGGCCATATTCATTATGGCTGGAAAGAAAACACACGGAAAAAAGAAAGTAGAAAAATAATAATGTTAATAACAGTGTGAGCTTGTAGATCAACCATTATAAAATTGTTTTGTTTTTTTTTAGTACAATTGGCAACTTGTGAAGCAGGACATAATGCATAATGAATACCTTTTGCTCTTGGTAAAAAAAATATGTCAATACCAATACTTTTAGATTTTTACTATTAGCATTTCCTATAGCACTGCTAATGCATTAACAAAATAATATTAGAATAATTTAACTAATGCGTCCCATTTCTACCACACATAGTGAAAAACCCATCTATGACAATTACAGTTAAACACAAATTTAACTATATAAAAAAATAACACTGGAAACAAAAACAACAGTACTGGCATCAAAATAGACTTCATTTTCTAATTTAAATGGATAGCCTAACTAGCAGCTTTTAACCTTGGCTCCAACAGAGAGAGCAGGCCCTTATTTACTTTCACGACAACCCACGTTAGCATGGACTATTTGATGCTGTTGGGCCCACGCTGGCTAAATTAGCCACAAGCTAGCCCTCGTAGTAGCAACCAGGCTACATGCGAACTCGAGTTTAACATTTGCTGTGAATGCATTTCACCGTCACGCATCATGATGCACAACGGTGGGAGGACCAAAGCTTGCAAAAATAAACATTTTGTATAATATCTCCCTCAGCACCCACCTCTTTTCAGCAGAAAGTATAACTCTGGAACTCTGGCACGACTGGAACTTCTAGTGTAGTCCGACGGTCGTGAGGTCGAGTGTGGACAAAGCGCAATGCTTCAGCCGGATGTTGTGCGGTCCACAATTTGAAGCCGTTTTCATGTTATGGTCCGATTATGGTACGATCTCCATACGGGTGTAAAGCTGGGCTCTTTCAGAGCTACCAAATACTTTTTGTCGCCCATCTCGTAGTATTGCGACTATGCTGATAACTTTTATCACAGACTACTTCGCTCTTGGTGGAATTAGAATCTACCCGAAGTGGTTGCACGGTGGGTCACATGAGCGTGCTCCACCAATGAGGTGGCTGGATTATTGTCACGGCGGCAGCCGGCGTTACCGAGACGGATAAAACACATGAAATCTAATAATTAAATTGAATTTCAGCGACCAACTTTGTTGTCGAGTACTCAGCAGGAGCCAGGCTTTAAGATCCGAAGTTGGTTTTTTTTTTGTTTTTTTTGTGTATATGCATTTTGACCGGATATGGCGAAAACACTGGTCACGCTCCGGAGTATGATAGTAGTCCCATAGATTGATATCAGTTCTGCAACGTTCAGTTATCATTTTAAATAATCAACTCTTGAATTGTGGATTAAAATCGATTGTCTAGATTCGGTCTATATGTAGACGTTGAATTGACGTATACATTTTTACGTCTAAATCACGTCTTAAAAAAGACTGAATCCCGACGTTGAAATGAAGTATAAATTTATATGTGTAAATGACATCTACATCTATACTATGCTGCATATCTCTCCACGGTATCATAAGTAATGTAATCCAGTATTTAGAGGTCAGTTATGCACATTACAGTTGTTTATTGTATAAAAAGTTATCGAAAAATTGAGTTGAGGGCAAAGTATGAATCACGTCTAGAAATAGACCGAATGCTGACGTTGAAATGAAGTATAAATTTAGACTAGACGTCTAATATACGTCTTTTGCTCAGTGGGTACAGTGAAAGTGTGATTATGACAGTGAAGAGATGCAGTGAACAGTGAAAGTGTAAAGATCACAGCTTAAAGTGTAAAGATTACAGTAAATGTGGGTTGTGCAAATTACAGTTAAATTGTGCAGATTACAGTAAAATTGAGCAGATTTCAATGCATGAATGTTATGCAGAATTCAGTGTAAGTATGCAAATTACAATAAAGGTGTGGAGATTACAGTGAAGGTGTGCAAGTAAGAACCTGTGCTCAACTAAGTGGCAACAAAGTCTGGTCTCTCTGAATATATATATTTTAATGTTTTTTGTCAGCTGTTTATTTGAGAGATTATTTAAGAGAGGAGCTTCTTTCGTTTAGACAGAGCAAATGTGGACGACCACATCCAATTCAAGTGGACACCAGGGTTTTTTTTGTGGTTGCTGTGCTTGTGTAAAGGTGAAACCCCTGTGTTTCCTAAAACCTGGTTGAATCAAAACAACTCAGACTCCAGTGTGGATCTATCTTGCTTCCCTCCCACAAGGTCAGACAGCTGATAGCAAAAGCTGGTAGCAAGAAGAAAGGAGGAGGTCTGTTTTTTTTTTTTTTTGTAGCCAGAGATGACAACTCTTTACACATAAATTTCAAGGCAAAGTTGTGTTGTCCAGATATAGAACTGTTGGCAGTTGCTCTTTGGCCATATTATGTTTCAGGGGAGTTCATTCATATCATAAGAATGCTTGTATATATCCCACCGAAGGCAACAGCTTAAGTTCTGTGGGATGTTCTACATGATACTGTTGCTAGGCTACAAACTCAACATCCTGAGGCACTTGTAATAACGCCAGGAGACTTCAACCATGTAAAGTCTACAGTCTTACGCTGCAGTCTGCTGGGGAGGCAGTATAAAGGGCTGTTCAGACCAAACGCGACCAGGTCGCGTCGCGTGGCGCCCTGGTGTGTTCACAACGGGTCCAAAGTTGCTGTCGCAGGATGCGGCTGGTCGCTGCTGACCAGCTTCTTCCACCTTCCTTCTCCCTCCTTTATACATCCCGCAGCCCTTTCCAGCGCTTGCGGCACACACACACACGTTGAAACATGTAGCCTAGCAAGCAGGGGAAGTTTGCTATGTTTTCAATAGTCTGCTCACTGAAATAAATAAACAAACGACCAGAAAGCCCGAAATCATGGGCCACCTTCGCCCATGCCTCCTCCTTGGAGGTGCAGTCCGGGTAAAACGCGCGCCCCACGTCGTACAGGACCGGGTGATAACTCACGGCAGTGATAAACTGCTCCTCCATTGTGATTCTTCTTCTCCTCCTCCTTGCTTCGCCGGTTTGTTGACGTCAGCGGAGCCCTGATTGGCTGTCGCAGCACGGAGTCGCGGATAGTCGCTTCCAAAGTTCAAATATTTGAACTTTGGGAACGACGTGACTTGGCGTCCTCTGCGACGTGTCCTCTGCGACGTGACCTCAGCGACGTGACTTGGCGACCATGCGCGACCTGGTCGCCAAGTTACGTCGCCGAGGTCGCATTTGGTCTGAACACCCCTTAAAACACAAGGACTCAAGGGCCCTCATTTATCAAGCTTGCGTACGGCAGAAAACTTGCGTACACCTTGCGTACGACAGTTTTGATGTGAGGATCGGCATTTATCAATCTGCTCGCGAGCGTAAGCTACGACCAAATCGCATGACAGGTCTGACATCGTGTACGCAAGTTTGAGTCAGTGTTGATCTACGGTGCAGCAAATGTCTGTCTCAAAAAATTGATAAACAAACCTCAAACCTGTCATTAAGCACAATCAGCCAGATTTCAGTAAAGATTAAGACGTGAATAAAATAAAATAAGTTTATGTCCTTAGTGAAAAGACCTATTTGATAACTCTGTCCAGAAACACTCCCACAGAGCAGGAGCGCCATTTCAACATTATGCACACACGCCACTGTGGAGCGCTGCGTTTGAATCCTAAAAGGCAGGTGTCTCTGTCTTGGCCCAGCAGCGGGGACGTTGTTGTACACTCCTGAAAGGGTGTGGGACATCATTTGGGCCAGTACAGTTTTGCACAATGTTGCACTGGCGAATGGAGTGCCGTTGGCTGTGCCGGTGCAACGTGAGAACCGATGCCCAGAGAACAATAACAAGGAGAGACTCCACAAAGATGCTGCACAGAGGAGACAGGACCTTATTGATGGATTCTGACATGTAAAGTATAAGTTTAGAAAGTGGTCTTGCTATTTAACTTGATAAATGCGGCGGCTGAAATCGATGGTCATTAACATGTTTACACCCTTAAATATTCATGGTTCAGAAGCCTCGCCCACTGAGGTCAAACATGAAAGAGGAGAAATATTACAAAGATGGGAAACTTTTCCGAGCTGAAAGTGGATATCCTCACACCTGTGGTGGAAACTAACAAGGATTTTCTCTTTGGAAGCATCAAAACTGGAATAAAAGAAGTCCAATAAACTCCTGTCTGGTGCAGGATTATGGTGGCGGTGAACAGGGCTGCCGCGGAATAGTGGACAGTGGCTGAAGTTTGAAGAAATCATTAGTCAATAAGTTGCTCATGATGATAAATGAATATCTCATACATGCCTCATATATTTCATTGCCATGACATAGGTTACGTTGCTCCTTTTATTGAAAGTATTTAGTTTTAACTTGTTGCATCTTTGTACTGGAGAGCCGACTGGAGAGTCTGACAGAGGCTGAACAAAAATAATTATTAACGTCACCAAACTGTGTGTTGCTGCCCATGAAACACATTTTTATGGATTTCTATTGGATTTTTATCACTGATTAAATAGCAAGAGCACTTTCTAAACTTATACTTTACATGTCAGAATCCATCAATAAGGTCCTGTCTCCTCTGTGCAGTATCTTTGTGGAGTCTCTCCTCGTTATTGTTCTCCGGGCATCGGGTCCTCGCGTTGCACCGGCACAGCCAACGGCACTCCATTCTCCAGTGTAATGTTGTGCAAAACTGTACTGGCCGAAATGATGTCCCACACCCTTTCAGGAGTGTACAACAATGTCCCCGCTGCTGGACCAAGATAGAGACACCTGCCTTTCAGGAGTCAAACGCAGCGCTCCACAGTGGCGTGTGTGCATGTGTGCGTAATGCTAAAACGGCGCTCCTGCTCTGTGGCAGTGTTTCTGGACAGAGTTATCAAATAGGTCTTTTCACTAAGGACATAAACTTATTTTATTTTATTTACTTCTTAATCTTTAATGAAATCTGGCTGATTGTGCTTAATGACAGGTTTGAGGTTTGTATATCAATTATTTTGAGACAGACATTTGCTGCACCGCAGATCCACACTGACTCAAACTTGTGTACACAATGTCAGACCTGTCGTAAGATTTGGTCGTAGCTTACGCTCGCGAGCAGATTGATAAATGCAGATCCTCACGTCAAAACTGTCGTACGTAAGGTGTACACAAGTTTCCTGCCGTACGAAAGCTTGATAAATGAGGGCCACTGTGATGATGCTCGGCTCAAACAGTGTCTCCCCCCGGGTGAGCGACGCAGTTCCTAAACGCCCATAGGCTGTATCAGGTGTCAATCATAGAAAACATGAACCCCCTAATGACCTTTAAAAATGGAGCTACACAGAAAAAAAGGACTTGGGCACAAACCAATCTTACAATAACTACATGTCAACATCACAAGCAGGGGGGAGAAAAATGTATGTTCTGTGTAATAAATTTCTAAAGTTTGTCCACAGCCCCATAAGTTTTGCTGGCGGAGGCGGGGTTTATGACCTATACTGCAGCCCATCAACAGAGGATGCTGTTCTCGGATTGGCTTCACCCAGCGAGGAGGCAGACTCTGTCCATTCTATATACAGTCTATGGTTTCGACCTTATCATGTTGATTTCCTCCCTTATTTGTGGTATTTGTGGTATACAGTCTATGGTCTGGACAAACTGGTGGAAACCACTGGAAGATGTGGTGGAGAGATGCACACTGAGGAAGGTAGAGGCTATTCTAATTCTACCCACAGCCATCAGACTTGAGATGAGATACGATTCCAGACAAATTATTTTCTCTTTGGAAGTTATTGTATTGTATAACAGTGAAGGTGTAGGGATTTCATTGAAGGTGTGCAGATTGCAGGAAAGGTGTGAAGATTAAGGAGGTGCCAAAGATCAGGGAGGTATGCTGTCTATCTAGAGGTTGTTCTCTCTGATTCATTCAGATTATGTCTAGACTTCTGATTAGATCTGAAGTCTTACTCCAGATGTAGCAACCTTTCAGACAAATGAAAGATTATTTTTTTAAAGGATGATTAAATTGCTGCAGAGGGATGATCAACTGTCAGTTAAACTCCTGCTGCTTCCTCAGTCACGTCATGACTGCAGGAGAGTGTGTGTTTTTGGTTTGACTCTGCTTGATTCATCTGATAGGCTTTGAGACTCAGGATAAGAGGGCATGAATATTCAGATTGTGGCCAAAAGAACATGTCAAGGTTATCATAAAAACTTCATAAAGCTGCAGAAACAAACTGTCCTTGAATCCCCCTCAAATGTTAATTTGCCCAAGGGGACCTCCCCAAAAGAATCAATACAGTTCTATCTAAATCAAGAGTCAGCCATTACAACCAATAGGAAGCAGTGACACAGAGATCACCAGTCAGACAGCGGCTATACTGTGATAATTTTACATCTTTATAGCTGTAAAAACTGAATCTCATTACAGTCTGTGTCCTTTGTTTTCTTGATCATGCATGCAGCCTTTTCATCTCTCCCAATCAGAACTGTCTCCAGCATTTTCAAATTTCGGCAAACATACATTCACAACACAAACTGCTAAGTTAAAGTTAGATATGAAGTTGGTTTACATCTGTGGCCCCTAAAAACAAAAACAGACTTCACAAGACCAAATCCCATGAACACAGAATTTTTTAATGACATTATATTTATGTGATTATCAGAGCATTCATACTTATGTCATTCTCCAGCCTAACAAACCTGCAGATGTGTCTCTATCCCTCCTGCTAGAAAACAAAGCTTATGTGCGGAGACTTCCTGTTGTGATGACATAACAGCTGTGATTTGCAGAGGCATTAATGAAAAACCACTCCCACGTTTCCAGCATTGTGCTTCATACTCAGGTGTCGTAGTTTTGCTTTGATGTTGCAGAGTCAAGATGTCAGAGGTCAGAGTCATATGTAACAACTGCTCAACAACATATTTCTTAATGCTGTCCCACAAGTAAAGAGTGGATTTCTTTTTATTGCTACACCATCATGATGACTTATCAGTCTTATGTTTGAGAGGATTAGGGGATTTCTTACTCAAAGAGACAAACTCCAAGCCCATGTCTTCATATTACAGAGTCTGAACATGTCCACAGATGAGGAAGTAGTGTCCATATAGTGACTAGTGCTTCAGTTCTCTCCTGTGCCAAAGTTTCCCCACAAAAAAACTGTGTCCACTCAATACCTGTCCCCTTGCTGATATCCTCTGCCTGTGTACTCATGTCCTCTGTCCCTTTGCTGGTTTCTTCTATCTTTGTACTCATGTTGTCTGTCTCCTTGCTAATGTCCCCTGTCCCCTTGCTGATGTTCTCTATCTCATTGCTCATGCCTATCCCATGGAGCATTGTGTGTCACAGTCAGATACTTGAGGTGTTGGTAGTTGTTGTCCTTTCACTGTAAACTTGGTCAATTTTTTTGTAGTTCTTTTACCAAGGAGGGATTCTTGCTTTATAATTTCTTTGTGGATAGCTATCTCTCTCTCTCTTTCTTCATCTCCCTCTATCAGTCTCTTTTCTGTCCAACTCTCTTTTTCTCTCCATCTACCTCTCTCTCCTCTCTTAACCCAGCTCAGTCTCAGCAGATGACTCTCTCACATCAGTCTGGTTCTGCTTAAGGTTTCTGCCTGTTAAACAAAGTTCTTCCTGTTCACTGTTACTTGATAAAAGCTGTCAAGTGTTGAAGTTAAGGTGGGAGTGGGTCTGATCTTATAAGATGGGGCTTTGTAAAAAGAGTGTGGTTGAGACCAGGTTTTTTGTCAAGTGTCTTAAATTAATATTTTTTGTGAATTAATAAAAGCAGATTGATTGATTGATTTATGTCTAAATTTCTGAGGGATGTAGAATAATGAGCTAATTAACTAATTTGTAGCTTCACAAAATAAGGACTGTACTTTGTTAACTCTGATTTATTAACATGAGTAAGTTGACTAATAAGTGATCAGACATGCAGGTTTCAGTTTATCGTTTTCAGCCCTGGTGTCCTAATAATGCCCTCATAAATAATGTCAATATGCAGATGGTTAATTTCTTTAGTCCTCACAAATTAAGTCACAATCACTGGATTAAACATGAATGCTGTTTGTAGATGTTTTTACTGGGCAAAGCTTTGGCTAAAGCGTTTCTCAGTCTGAAATGATACAGTGGTGTTACTATAATACAGAATCAGTATGTCTTAATGCTGCTCCAGTATCAACCCCAAGGATGAAACATGGTGTAAAAAGAAAAATGATCTAAAAAGAAAAACCTCTCCTACTCGCTAACTTACCTCACACTGCCAAAGCTCAGAGCCCCAAACAGGGACATGTCAGGGTGAGAGACAAATATCCGCTGGACTTTAATCCAGAGAATCAACACAGGAGCTCAAAACCAGTAGAAAGAAATAAACCATTTGATAATCTGATAATCTCTGGGGGTCATGAAGAGAATGAGAGTTTTCAAAAATCCTACTTAAACTCTTAACAGAGACTCCAAGCTGCTCTCTGAGCCTGACAGGTCACAGTTATCAGACTGTGGTGATCTAAAGACACAAATACATATATTACACCATTTATTAAAACTTTTACTGAACAAAACTATGAAAGCAACACTTTTGTTTTTGCTCCCATATTTCATGAGCTGAACTCAAAGGTCTAAGACTTTTTCTATGTACACAAAAGACCTATTTCTCTCAAATATTGTTGACAAATTTGTCTTAATCAGTGTTGGTGAACACTTTTCCTTTGCTGAGATAATTCATCCACCTCACAGGTGTAGCATATCAAGATGTGATTAGACAGGATGATTATTGCACAGGTGTGCCTTAGACTGGCCACAATAAAAGGCCACTCTAAGATTGTCTAGTTTTATCACACAGCACAATGCCACAGATGTCACAAGTTTTGAGGAAGCGTGTGATTGGCTGACTGCAGGAATGTCCACCAGAGCTGTTGCCTGTGAATTGAATGTTCATTTCTCCACCATAAGCCGTCTCCAAAATCGTTTCAGAGAATTTGGCAGTACATCCAACCAGTCTCACAACGACACACAACGTATAACCACACCAGCCCAGGACCTCCACATCCAGTGTCTTCACCTCTAAGATTGTCTAAGACCAGCCACCCAAACAGCTACTGCAACAATTGGCTTGCATCAACAAACAATTTCTGCACAAACTGTCCGAAACTATCTCAGACAAGCTCATCTGCATGCTCATCGTCCTCATCGGGGTCTTGACCTGACTGCAATTCGTCGTCATAACTGGCTTGAGTGGGCAAATGCTCACATTCGATGGCATCTTGCACTTTAGAGAGGTGTTCTCTTCGCAGATAAATCTTGATTTTCACTGTACAGGCCAGGGCAGATGGCAGACAGCGTGTTTGGCATTGTGTGGGTGAGCAGTTTGCTGATGTCAATGTTGTGAGTGGCCCATGGTGGCAGTGGGCTTATGGTATGAGCAGGCACATGTTATGGACAGCGAACACAGTTGCATTTTATTGATGGCATTTTAAATGCACAGAGATACTGTGACAAGATCCTGGGGCCCATTGTTGTGCCATTTATCAGTGACCATCACCCTATGTTGCAGCATGATAATGCATGGCCCCATGTTGCAAGGATCTGTACACAATTCCTTGAAGCTGAAAACATTCCAGTTCTTGCATGGCCAGCGTACTCACTGGACATGTCACCCATTGAGCATATTTGGGATGCTCTGGATCGGTGTATACAACAGCATGTTCCAGTTCCTGCTAATATCCAGCAACTTCACACAGCCATTGAAGAGAAGTGGACCAACACGCCACAGGCCATGATCAACAATCTGATCAACTCTATGCTCAGAGGTTGTGTTGCACTGCATCAGGAAAATGGTGGTCACACCAGGTACTGACTGGTTTTCTGACCCCCCTAGAAGCCCCCAATACAGAAAAACTGCACCTTTTAGAGTGGCTTTTTATCGTGGCCAGTCTGAGGCACACCTGTGCAATAATCATGCTGTCTAATCAGCATCTTGATATGCTACACCTGTGAAGAGGATGGATTATTTCAGCAAAGCAGAAGTGTTCACCAACACAGATTTAGACAAATGTGTCAAAAATATTCGAGAGATATAGTTTGTCTTTTGTGTATGTAGAAAAAGTCTTAGATCTTTGAATTCAGCTCATGAAAAATGGGAGCAAAAACAAGAGTGTTGCTTTTATATTTTTGTACAGTTTATTTAATGTTATGTATTTGAAGAATCCACTCTGAGGAAGTTTGACTCGGATCTAAATGTCTGACAGGACTAACATCAGTCTGAGTGAAGGTAAACTATAAAAAGAAAGACCAGCCAGTCTTATAAGAGCTCTTCATTAGGAAGACCTCTGTTCAGTTCACACCTGAAGCTCAAACAGCTGTTTCCTCCACTCTGCTGTCTGGACAGAGGTTCAGTGTTTCTGATGACACACCTTTTCAGGTGTGACGCTGGTGTCATTCGTCTGAGCCAACACAACACACCACGTTCGTTCTCAGGCTGCTGTACCAAAATATATCTGATAATAAATTTTAAAAAGCCCAATCAAATAAACAAATAAAAACATAATTTAAATAAAGAAGAAGAATAAAACTAGGAAGAATAATAATGGGGGTTATGATGATGTTAAGAGGGATGCTGCTATTTAATGTCTGACTTAAACTTCAGCAGCTCCAGATTCACGGTTACCATAGCAACAGCACCATCCTGTCACCAGCACATGCCTGCTACAACAGACCATAATAATCAGTTAACCCACTCACAGCCAACGCATTGTTTCCATGGCAACCACCAGAGGTCTGAATTTAGCACGAATTGTGTGTGTGTGTCTTGTTGTGGGAGTTTATAAATCTTAAAATCCTAAAATCTGAAGTTGATCAGACTTTTTTCACTGATCTCTCAGAGAGCATCAGTGTAAAACAGAGAAGAATAAAAACCTAATGCTGAAATTAATCAGGAGTATGAAATAATCTCTAAATGTTCATGTTAAAACTGTGAAAGGTAGAGAGAGGGCAAACAAAGGTTGAAGAGATTTTAAAGCAGTAAGAATAGAGGGTTAAGGGGATATTCAATAATTATGTTTTAACTGGATGTAAAATTGAAGCAGTGAAATATGGAGAGAGGATAATAAGGAATAAAATACTAAGTGACAGGGGATAAAGGATAAAAATATAAACTCGTGTAATGACAGGATGCTGTTTTTTTTAGCAGTAATAATAAGGGATAGGGGATAAAAATAGAGTCAGTGAGCAGCCTGCAGCTGTGTGAAGTTTCTGGGTCATGTCTGAGCAGACCTGTGAATATTTTGGTTACATCAGACTGAAACATTGTGGCAGCAGAGACAGCATGTCCCTTCCTGCAGCAAAGACCAATAGGTCCAGCAGGGGGCGCTGTGCTAGTGACGCCTTTCAGAGTAAATGTGGTGGATGAGGGGAGACATGTAGGGTTAGGGAAAACAGAATTATTGATGATTATAGGACAGTGTTCTCCCAGCCTACTGAAAGGACCAGCAGTCTGGTTTAGTCTGGATGAATTGTACTTGCTAACGAGTGTCAGTCTACCTCTCTGTTCCTAGTGGGTGGCACTATTACTTTTTTGAAAAACTCTCAAGGGGGGGGGGGGTGTCTGTAAACTGTTGAAGTGTTTGGGGCATGAGACCCATATAATCTCCAAATTTCACATACCTGCTGAGTGTGTGAAACCTAATTAGTTTTGGGGCATGTTTAGGCCTCTGAAAATTTAGCTCATTAGGCAGAGAGAGAAAAATTTAAGTCTTTGAAGGGGGTCCACACACCCTCAATGCTGAGGCCCTGATAATATTCTGTAGATTTTACTGTATGTTGATACTCTGATGTAATCTGTGTTGCTGTTGTGTTCTTGTTGTTCTAGGACAGGGGTCTTCATATAAATTTTCAGTGGGTCTACCTGAATGAAATGCCTGCAGGCCTGGGTCCAGGGATTTTTGTTTATTTTTTTACAGTGCATTACTCTTTTGAAATATTCACTTCATTTGTATTGCCAATAATTGCCTACTTTCAATTGGCTGTGTGCTTCCTGCGGGTAAAATGAATGCAAATGACTCGGTCCACTCGCCATAAAACACCCTGTTCTCATTCTCTACCTTTCGTGGTTTTTAAGCTGACATGTTTAGCTGCTGCTACAACTTTCTCCTCAGTCTGCCGCCTGACAGTTTTCAACATCGGGATTGCTCGGTTATTTTCGTGTGTCGAGTAGGCTAAGAGGTCTGATTTGATTGACAAGTCAAGCGAGTAAGCAAGTGATGTAATGCCTTGCTGAAATTGCACGTGCAGTTTACTGAACCAGGCACAAAGCAAGAGAGTAAGGCTGCACGATATTGGAGAAAACTAACATTGCGATTTTTTTCAACCCTGCGATATATATTGCGATATTAAAAATATAGGAATTTTCACCAGATGACCTGAATAGCATTTAATGTTATACTGCACTGCTTAAGTCTTGAGGACAGTTAACCTGCACTGATCTTACCTCTTTTTGTGAATGTTAGAATGGCTTCTGTCTGTCTCAGAGATATTTTTAGCTTTTATTGTGCTGGGACGTTATTGTGGCGACAGATGAACACAGAACACGTGTTTTGGTCAACATCATCCTTCTTTTAACCGAAATAATTCCAGATAACTGACTTTCCTTTTCTTTTTGGCAACAAATCTTAATTTTCGGTGGTTTTCTCTTGTTCGTTGCTCATTTTGCAATCCTTGTTGTTGTTGTTGTTGTTAGCGGTGTTGTGCCGAGAAACGCATGTCCTCCGAGAATTGCATACACCTCGCAAAACGCGCACCGCTTATAGTAGAGTGGTCCACGGAAATATACATTTTAAAACCCATACAGTTCTTATTTGTTGGGCTTAACAGTCAGTAAAGTTCCGAAAGTAATTCTCAGCGGACACGCGTCTCACTCCATGTGCAGAACATGTGCAGGGGTGGGTTTCCTCCGCTCTGATTTTGATTGACAGCTGGCAGGGTAGTCTGATTGGCAACTGAGAACTGAGTCTGATTGGCAACTGAGTAAAGGACAAAGGTGATTGGTGGATCGCTGCAAAGCACATGCAGAGTCACATGCAGTGTATCTCAGTCAGCTACCCTTGAAATTAACTGAGTTCATTCACCTCCGACATCGCAGGCTCTGTGATGTGACTATCGCACACACGTACATCTTGCAGGCCTACAAGAGAGAAAAAAACATACATTTTTCTGCGGTAGGCTCGGGTCCGTATTGGACTCTTTCCCGGTCCGGAAGTGGACCGCGGTCCGCCATATGGAGACCACTGTTCTAGGATGTCTCAATGAGACAGTCGTTGAAAGCTTAAATAGTACACAAAAATCAGCCTTTAGATCAATGCAAACTTCTTAAAATTAAACTTTTTTACATCTTCATTATGACCTCATATTTGTTTTATAAATTATAATTATTGATTAAAATGTCCTTTTCTCTTGGTTAAAAAAATGTTACTTTATAATAATAAGGTCTTTATTCCCTCTTTCTATCTGCAGAGAGCCACAGCCGGTCTTAGGAGGACACCAGCTGAGCTAACTGACGGACATCCCGACAACGATAACCCAGGCAATCACTCTCCCACAGAAGAACAGTCAATGGATCCAGTTACCATGGAGAACAGCTCAGTACCCATAGACCCACAAAGCTCTCACAGCCAGGAAGTCAAGGAACTTCATTACCCAGAAGACCATGGGGAGCAGCAGCAGGAGAGAGAAGAGACTACAGAAGCAGAGGGAGAGTGTGACTATCTGGTTTTTGACCTTGGAGAGAAGGAAGGGGGAGAGGGGGAGGCAGGGAAGGAGGCAGAGACTAGAGAAGAAGGGGAAGAAAATAAAGAAAGTCAGGGAGGAGAAGAGGAGGTGACAGGAAGAGAGGAGGGAGGACAGGAAGGAGGAGAAACAGAAAGAGACACTGGAGAGGGAGAGAAAGAGGAGAAAAGGGGAGCTGTAGGAGTGGAAGAAGAGAGTAAAGGAGAAACTGAGAGTGAAGATTCTCAGGCAGGAAATGAAGGAGTTGAGGTCAGAGGAGAAGAAGAAAAGGAAGAGAGATGTGGAGGAGAAGGAAAGACAGAGCCTGAGGAGGAGCTTATGGGAGAGGCGGAGAAAGAGTCGGTGAACGATGAACTCCTTCTCCTCTCTGATGGACCCGTGTGCCCCTCATTGTCAGAGCAGCAAGACGTCTGGGGTCACGATCCCGCCAACAGGGATGACCTGAGTGACTGTCTGCAGGCCGAGCTTGCCATCGTCCACTCAGACAGCGACACGGGGGATGACCAATGGACTGGCTCTGCCCCCTGCAATGTCATTAACCAGGAAGAAGCAGGCGATGGAAGAAGCAGGGAGAACAAGAGAGAGAGCGAGGAAAGAGTGGAGGAGCTGAAGACTGGAGGAGAGGAGAGGGGGGAGAAGGGGGAGAGGAGAGAAGTCCAGGACGATGAGGTAGACTCGATGAAGAACAGGAGAGACCTGTTCCTGCGCTCTCCTTCCTGCAGCTCCACGGCGAGCTCCACTGATCCTGACAGGAAGGTAGGACTAGCCCCGCCCCTGACAGGCATTTTGAAAGGTTTCCTCTGTACACACACACCTTGGTCTCCCCTGAGCAGGTGTAATGTTGTTCTGTCAGGTGTTGCAGGTGAACTTCACACCTCCTCTTCAGTAATCCCACAGACTGTCAGACAAACTGGGCCCAAAGAGTTGTGGCATGCAGAATGTGTCATCACTATTTCACTATTTCACACTTTTCCTTTCTTACTTACCACCTCTTTTCCGTAGGTCTCGCCCCCCAGTCTTTCACTATCCTCAAATGAACATGCAAATCCCCCCAAAAACAACTTAACAGACAGGAGACTGCTTTTACCATGAAAACAGACAAAAGATCAGCTTTATTGACACACAGATCCCAGCTATGAAACACCTATCTCCTCACAGTCAGAACAATCATAACTTAGTCTGAGTTGTTCACAGCATGTGGAGCCATAGCTAAAATACAATGACAAAGCAATCTGTTTGTGTCCATTATGTGTTGTAGTGTGTACATGATAAGCTGGGAGGCTTAGCAGATGTAGCTCTAATAATTGTAATTTGGTTGACACTCATCACATTAGGCCTGTATCTGTTTCTAAGATCTCTTATTAACAGATGCCTCTCTGCATATTTCATAGAATCACAGACTGAACAGTAAGAGGACAGGCGTGAAAGTGGAACCATCAAACAAACAAGCAAAGAAAAGCTCTCAGAGAGCACCTCACACCAGTCACAAACTAATCTGTTAAAAGTATCAAGACAAAGAACACAAAGACAGAATATCAGATTAACAAAAAAACTCTACATAGAATATTCAGCAGAATGAACACTAACTGCATGGGTAAAGAGAGGAAGCTGTCTTAACAAATATTTTAGCGGTTTTACCTTTGTTATTTTTATCACATCTCTGAGGGCTTTGACCTATGAAAAAGTGAAGAATAGACACACTAGCCCTCATTTACAACAGAAAATTTGCGTACATCCTGCGTACGAAAATTTTGACGTGAGGATCGGTATTTATCAATCTGCACCGGAGCTTCCGCTACGACCAAATCTCACGACAGGTCTGACATCGTGTACGCGAGTTTGAGTCAGTGTGGATCTGCGGTGCAGCAAATGTCTGTCTCAAAAAATTGATAAACAAACCTCAAACCTGTCATTAAGCACAATCAGCCAGATTTCTTTAAAGATTAAGACGTAAATAAAATAAAATAAGTTTATGTTCTTGGTGAAAAGACCTATTTGATGACTCTGCCCAGAAACACTGCCACAGAGCAGGGGCCTCATGTATCAACGCTGGCGCTGCCAGAAAATCTTGCGTTCGCCAAGATCGGCGCACATGTCCAGATTTATCATTGCGACACGAGCGTCGGTTCCAGCGCAAATCCACGCAAAGTGAGGAGGTGGTGTAGAAGTTGGCGTTGAGCCGATACTTGCGTTGACGGCACTTTGGTGACGCTGTGTGGCGGTGTTTGGTGACTCACTATGTGACAAGCGTTCACACATCGCAGTGGATTAACTGTTATTCCGACAAATCAATTTATTTTCTCCACCAGACGCTCAAGGACATTTACGAGCCGGTCCAGCCGCTCGGTCCAGCCCCCGGACCCCCACCTGTCTGGCCGGTACTCCTCTGGAGGGCAGCTGTACACCGCTTGACCTCCACCTTGAGGTCCGACCACTTTTTTTTTAATCTCCGCGGGGGTGCGTGTCTCAGAACCCACCGCGTTCACCCTCTCGCAAACTTTCTCCCACTCCAAGCGTTTTAGTTTTGCACTGACGCCACTGGACAGGCTGCCAAACAAAACACGCTGTCGCTCCTCCACCTCCGCCACCAGCACCTGCACCTCGCATGCCGTAAATTTCGTTTTTCTTGTCATTTTGTCTGCGTGCAAGGACAGGGAGACCCTATTTAAATAAATCTGCATATTTATAGGTGGGCGTAACGGGGGCGGGCCAGGTCACTCAGACATCTGCGCTCAATCCCAAGATGATTGGGATTTATCAAGGAAACACACGTGGCTTTCGGCGCCCGCACACCTTGATACATACGAATTTTTTTCAGCGTGACGGACCTTGCGTGTGCTCGTTTCCGGTATGAGTCCCAGCAAGTGTCGATACGTGAGGCCCCAGGAGCGCCGTTTCAACATTACGCACGCACTGTGGAGCGCTGCATTTGACTCCTAAAAGGCAGGTGTCTCTGTCTTGGCCCAGCAGCGGGGACGTTGTTGTACACTCCTGAAAGGGTGTGGGACATCATTTGGGCCGGTACAGTTTTGCACAATGTTGCACTGGCGAATGGAGTGCCGTTGGCTGTGCCGGTGCAACGTGAGGACCCGATGCCCAGAGAACAATAACGAGGGGAGTCTCCACAAAAGGTGCTGCACGGAGGAGACAGGACCTTATTGATGGATTCTGACATGTAAAGTATAAGTTTAGAAAGTGCTCTTGCTATTTAAAACCTGTCATGAGATTTGGTCGTAGGTACGCTCGTGCAGATTGATAAATGCCAATCCTCACGTCGATATTGTCGTATGCAAGGTGTACGCAAGTTTTCTGGTGTACGCAAGCTTGGTAAATGAGGGCCACCGTCACTAACTTACTTTAAAACTATATGAGCTACATCCATAAACACCTGGGGTCCGTTTCACGTAGCAGGTTTAGTGGAAACTCCGAGTTTGTTAACCCTGAAATCAGGAAAACTCTGAGTTTTCCGTTTCACAAAGGAGGGTTAGTTAAACCAGGGAGAGAGGGGTAACTCTAACCTGTTTCACAAAGAGAGGTAACTCAACCTCGCGGTCAGTTACCACAGTAACAGACTCCGTGAACCTAACCTGCTCGGGAGCAGGTTTAACTCAGTAAACCCAGAGTTTCAGGTGAGACATCGGCATTTTCTCATTTTGATCATGTTTTACATTGTCAAGTAAGTACTAAGTGGCAGTTTGATCCCTTAAAAAATGCTCTTTTCACACTCAAAACTGAATTTTACTCTCTTATGATGTTCCGTTAAATGATTAGGAATATTATACTAACACAAAAACGGGTGGTGGCCCAGCAGCCCCACCTTTAACGGAGGCAGAGGAGCTGCCCCCCACCCCCCCCCCGTTCGACTATCGCGGCCGGTCCGATCGCAAATCCCCCCCCCCACAGACACACACACACACACGCACGCACACCAGTCCGACGATCGCTGCTACGGGGTGGGGGTTGCGATCGTCGGGGGGGGGGGGCAGCTCCTCTGCCTCCGTTAAAGGTGGGGCTGCTGGGCCACCACCCGTTTTTCTGGCATCTGCCCTCTTTCTGTTTGCTGAGTGAAAGTCTAATATTGAGTGTAGTGTGTGTTAGTTTAATATATGTACATATACATACTGAGAGTTAGTTTAATATTCCTAATCATTTAACGGAACATCATAAAAGAGTAAAATTCATTTTTGAGTGTGAAAAGAGCATTTTCTAAGGGATCAAACTGCCACTTAATACTTACTTGACAATGTAAAACATGATCAAAATGATTCAAGCAGTTTCCCCTGCAACAGTCTGTCATTGTGATTGCACGAGACTAGATTTAAAGTTACGCATTGACGCGAGCAGCGATTTCCTCCCAAGCCCTCTCCCTCTCCTTTGCAGCTGCTGCTGTATTGCACTTTCTTTTAAAAACGTGCTGTAATTCGCTGTTGGCTTGCTGCTGCCCCCTCCTTCTCCCTGTTTCCATTGGTTGATCATTGAATCTGCGCTCCACAGATGCTGGCTGTTTATGTCTGGCGTGCACGTGCTTAACTCCAGGTCAAACTACTCGGAGTTGTTAAAACCGTCTCAAATCAGGTGTTGTGAAACCGGAAACTCAGAGTTTCCTAACTCAGAGTTAAGGATTTAACTCAGAGTTTGTTGAACCACCTACGTGAAACGGACCCCTGGAGTAGATCTCATAAGAGCTTGTCCTGTGGTGCAGAAGGTTCAGGTTATCCTAAGGACTCTGAGTCTGTACGTACCATTTAAACATAAAACCGTATCAACAGTCTGAAGCTCACAGTCTGGAGTCTCAGAGGTGCTAATATCTCCCTGGATTGTTCTCAGATGTGCTTTGGAGGATATCACTCATACAGGTGTGTATGGGGTGCCGTTTGTAAAGCAGCCCATTATAAAAAACAACAGCAACAGGGTTTTTCCTGGCTCAAATTGAGGCAGAGGTGGCACCATCCTGACCATGCGCCATGACGTGCATGTATTTGTAAATTCAACAGTCTCTTTTACAGGCAACATACTTTAAGTTAAGAGTTCAAAAAAGAGTGTGACCATTATCATGTTAAAGCATTCATTTATTAAAACTATATACATACACAAATCAGCTGGCAACTTTAAATTGAAAGTACACTTCATCCACACATCTTGCAACCAGACAGAACATTTCAGCCTCCTCTTTTTCATTCTGTAGAACCTCCTCATGCACTCCTTGTAGTCCAAGGCCTCCTGGTCTGGTCCATCAACGGCCACCTTACAACAGACATCCAAGTGCCTCTCCTTCAGTCTGTTCCGCAGAGGTGTCTTCACCTTAAACAGAATTTGAATACACCTGCTGGTGCTACTTGGACACATCATCAGTGAAGTACCCGGGGTCATAGGGTGTTTCGGGTCTTTAATCTTCATACACCCTCACCTGGGCGACCCAGCCGGGGTGATCAGTCCCCGACTTGTGTCAGAGTGGCGTGATGTTCCACGGATCCCCCCTACGGATCCACAGCCACAGCGAGGCCCTTTCTGTGGCCTCTAGGATGTTTTTGATGGCTTTCTTCAATTGCAGTCCTTTTACTCCAAGGAGTTGAGGGTTCTCAGAAGCGATTGGCCAGCAAAGCCTTGGCTCCCGACCTCGACTGGCTCACAGCGGGTTTTCCAGCCATTGTTCCAGCACTCTGTGCTGAGCTCTGCATACTTGGCTCTCTTGCGTTCGTGGGCCTCTTCAATCCTGTCTTCCCAGGGGACTGTCAGTTCCAGGATAACTACTTGTTTGGTGGACTCCGATGTTAGTACCACATCTGGGCGGAGAGAAGTAGTTGTGATGTTGGCTGGGAACTTGAGCTGTCTTCCGAGGTCGACTTGAAGCTGCCAATCACGAGCGGTGGTGAGGAGCCCCCCTGTAGAGTTGGGATGGTGATGTTGTGCCTTCTGCCCTGCTCTAATGAATGTGATTGCCTGTTTGGGGGCTGCCTGGGTCTTGCTGTGCTGGATCGCTGTGCTGATGGTTTCTGCCAAAGCTTTTAGGACTTGGTCATGGCGCCAGCGGTACCGCCCCTCTCCTAGCGCTTTAGGGCAACAGCTCAAGATGTGCTCCATGGTGCCCCTCTTCTGGCACAGTTTGCACTCGGGAGTGTCTACCAGTCCCCAGGTATGTAGGTTGGCCGGGCTGGGGAGGACATCGTACACTGACTGGATGAGAAACTTGGTGCGAGATGGTTCTGCTTTCCAGAGCTCTGCCCAGGTGATTCTGCGGGAATCAGCCTGCTCCCACCTGGTCCACGCTCCTTGTTTGGACATGCCAGCGATCTTACTGCTGCGTTCTTCCTCCACCTCTGCACGTATCTCGTCCTGGATCAGTCGGCGCTTCTCCTCTCCACAGGCCAGATCATAACGCGGCTTTGGAAAGGAACCAAGACCTGCTCGTCCTGTTGCCACAGAGCCCACAAGCACTTTATGCCTCAGTCGCACCTCGGCTCTAGTGACGGCTTCTCGTGCCCGCCACTTCCTCCCGGTTTTCACAAGGATTCCTGCTGCTGCGACTTTGGTGTCTGCGGAGTCCCTGTACATCATCACCTCTCTGGAACGGGTGACTTTAAATTCCTCTGTTAGTCCACTAAAGGGAAGGTGCAGCTTGTTGGAATGGCCGTACAGGGCGATGCTGCTTAAGGACCGAGGGAGCCCCAGCCATCTCCTGAGAAACTGGCTGATGGACTTCTCTAGAGCCTCTACCGTTGTTATAGGTACTTCGTAGACTAACAGGGGCCAGAGTATTCTTGGCAGGACTCCATGCTGGTAGATCCAGGCTTTGAATTTTCCAGGGAGGCCAGATTTGTCAACCGCTGTGAGCCAGGTGGACAGCTCACTCTTGGTTTGCTGTATGGCAGCTGAGTTCTTCAGGGAGCTGTCGAAGATCTTGCCCAGACCCCTGACCGGTTTCTCGGTCACTGATGGGATCCTGGTCTCTCCTAGGGCAAAGCGGAACTGGTCGGACACTTTACCCTTTTTCAGGACCAGGGAATAAGTGGGCTTGAAGCTCATCCTTGCCCAGGAGATGAGCTGTTCAAGCCCCTGAAGAAGCCACCTGCACCCTGGAACAGATGTTGTTGTCACCGTTAAGTCATCCATAAAGGCTCTTATGGGGGGCTGCCGAGTCCCAGATCTTGATTTGGGCCCTCTGCATTCCACTTCGGCAGACTTAACGATCCAGTTCATGGCCAGTGAGAAGAGGGTTACCGAGATGGTGCAGCCGGTGATTATCCCTTTCTCGAGGCGATGCCAGGCAGATGTTACTTGGCCTGAAGAGACTCGTGCGCTGAAGTTGTCGTAATAGTCCATGATGAGTTTGCGGATTTTGTCTGGAACATGGTGTCTTCCCAGTGCGGTTTCGACAAGCTTGTGTGGGATAGATCCGTAAGCATTGGCCAAATCAAGCCAGAGAGTTGCCAGGTCTCCTTTGCTCTCTCTTGCCTCCCGGATCAGCTGCGTCACCACACCCGTGTGTTCCATGCATCCAGGCATTCCTGGGACTCCTCCCCTCTGGACTGAGGTATCAATGTAGGTGTTCTTCAGGAGGACGTTTGTCAGACGTTGGGACACGATCTTGAAAAAGATCTTGCTCTCGACACTGAGCAGCGAGAAGATGCAAAACTGCTCAATTTTGCAAGAGCTCTCCTCCTTCGGGATCCAGACTCCCTCAGCATACCTCCATTGTGCAGCGACCTTCCCTCTCCGCCAGATCACCCTCAGGATCTTCCAGAGACGTTTGAGGAGCTGTGGCCACTGTTTGTAGACTTTGTAGGGAACACTGCTGGGACCAGGAGTAGAACTGGATCTCGCAGCTCTGACAGCTTCCTCTACCTCCTTCAGGGTGGGTTCAGCGCTGTTGAATTGGGTCTCTGGTTCTGGTGGTTCCACCAGTTCCCTACAAGGTCCGAGCTCGTGGTCCCTCATGGCATCACTTAAGGTGGCGTGGAGATGATGGTCGATCTCCTCTACAGGGCAAGCGAGGTGGCCGCTTCGCTTCTGGCCCAGTAGTTTCTTGGTAAAGCCGAAGGGATTGCTAATGAAGGCGTTGCATTTCCGAGCCCTTTCCTTTCCTTTCCTTCGGTGCCATTCTGCCCTCCTCAACGAGATGAGTCTCTTCCTTATGATGTTTGTGAGTTCTGTCAGGGCACTTCTTTCGTCTTCCTTGGCCGTCTTGAACTGAGGTCTCAGGGATTTTAGCTCTTGTCTCAGCTGACTGATATTGGATTTTCGCCGGTTGAGCTTTGCTGGATTATTTGCGCTGCATTTTTCTATGATGCCAAACCGCTCTGCTCCCATGTTCATTATGATGGTACACATGGTTTGGAGCTTCTGGTCGACACTGCCCTTAGAGATAGATTCCAGGCACTTGTCGACATCCTCATCCAGCTTTGACCACTCCTTGTTGTTGGCGGCGGGCCACTTCACCCTACGGTGTTCCGATTTCCTGCTTGATGGGGGGACTTGTGTTGCTTGGGGGTTCCAGGTACTGTGGGGAGATTCCGGACCTGATTCCTCCTCCGTCTCACCAGGTTCAGCAATCGGCGCAACGAGAACTGTTGCACCAGCTGCTGTTCCTGAGCGTTGCTTCACTTGGTCCCTCCTCAGACAGGCCATCCTTGCCTGGTGGATCTTCAGGCCCTTCAGGTCTTTGCAGACCTTGCCGCAGATACAGACTGCACTCGTATTCCTTTGTCCATTCGCTTGGAACATTGCCGGTAGTTCCGTCCGATTGGGATGCTCATCCTTCCCCCCTCTCGGGCATCCCTGGGGGTATATTTCTGTAGGGTTCTTCGTAGCATGCTTGGGTGCCCCCTCTCGGGAGCTGCAGGTCGGGGGGCTAGCCCTCCCTGCCCCGGTTGCCGTCTCTCCGAGCTGTCCGCTGTCTCTCCAGCTGTCGCCACTCTGTTCGTGGGTGTCATCCAGCCTTTCCTGGAGGTCACTGGCTAAGCCAGGTGTGCTAGAATTTGAATACACCTGCTGGTGCTACTTGGACACGTCATCAGTGAAGTACCCGGGGTCATAGGGTGTTTCGGGTCTTTAATCTTCATACACCCTCACCCGGGCGACCCAGCCGGGGGTGATCAGTCCCCGACTTGTGTCCAAGTGGCGTGATGTTCCACCTTACAACAGACATCCAAGTGCCTCTCCTTCAGTCTGTTCAGCAGAGGTGTCTTCACCTTAAACAAAACAATTCATCATGCATTAAGTATTTTTGTTTTTATTCTGATACAGACATGAAGAGTGATAGTGTTTTCAATCATATATTATATATATGTATACGCTGCAGTGTCCTCCCTAAAAAAAACGACAACCAATAATTTCTTAAACTATCTAAACTATATTAATTTAGTTTTTTTAACTTTATTAGTTTAGTGTTTTTAGGTACTACCATCTCTAATATATTTCTCCTTCTCTTCTGCTGCTTTGTGAATGGCTGTCACCTCATGTCTTTTTAATATGTCCAGCCTGTAGTTGGTTGATGGCTGTCTCACTAAGGAGGCAGCAATTGCCTGCTGTGTTGGGGCACAGTGCTTTTGGCTTAAATAGCAGTGCATGCCTGAGCCAGGTAAATTGATTGAGCCACTGTTTGTCAAAGCCACTGGCTCTGTGTTTTTGAGAAGATCTAGAAAGAGGAATAAAAACCACGTACACGTTGGTTTTGCGTTGTTATGCTCCTATTTGGAAACTAATTAATTAATTAATTACCCTCGCCTCGCCGACTCGTCCTGTCCTGCATTCTGACCCTCGCTATCACCAGTCCCTTGTGAAGTACTTTCAGACCTGACACAAATTTCCACGTTTACACCACCATGAATTATAGCATTTTAACTGCCTGTTACGTTTTTTCTCTGCTGTGTTTCACCTGGACTCTTGACTTTCCTCCTCGCGAGGTCGCTTTTTAAAGTACTGGCAGATTATGCCTGTCATATCTGCAACGCTAAAAATCAAAAACGTTACTCTGAAACGGAGGAAACTTTTTGTTTTAATAAACACGACATGCTTGGATGCAAAAAAGACAAGCAGTATTTACCTGTTTGTACCATCCGCCAGGGAAAATCAGGACGCCGATAACACCAACTAGCGGGAAAAAAAACTTGAAAAAACATGATTCAATCAGTTTCTTCTTCGGTAGATGCTTCAGGTCTTTCCGGTGCACTGCTGTTGATATAGCGCCTTTATAGTAGCGCAACGCTGCAACTGCAGTTAAAATACGTTGCTGCTGCAGAGGTACATCAATTGCTCAATCAACACAGCTGGAGCTATACGCTGTATTGAGCGAAATCAATCGCTCTGGCTGGGGGCGGCACAAAATTAGGTGGAGGCAGCCGCCACGCAATTTTGAACGCAGGAAAAATCCTGAGCAAGATTTGGTCACATTTAGCTTCAAACAGCATTTAAAAAAGTGATGTGAATTTTCGGCAGTCATTTTTTTGCACATTTACAACAACATTTAAATACTAAAACTAAATGTTAAATGTTAATTCTAAATGCTAAATATAAATGTTATATATATGTTTAATCTAAATGTTAAATATAAATCTAAATGTTAAATCTAAATGTTAAATCTAAATGTTAAATATAAATCTAAATGTTAAATGTAAATGTTAAATCTAAATGTGTTGGGCGAAACTAAATATTTAGCTAATATGCAAAGTCACGGTCGGAAACTGGAAGTGCCAAAATAAAAGCTCCAGAAGGTCATATTGATGATTCTTGTGTCGAAGAAAACGAATTAAAACCAATTTAAGGGGGGAACAAATACTTGGGGTGACGTTTCGTGTTAATAACTACCTACAATAGCAACAGCAACAACAAAAACCTTATTAGAAAGACTCGAGTTTTCAGTGTCGCTTCTCCGTGTGGCACGGACACTATACGAACACACGCACACACACATGCAGGCGCAAACATGATACTGCTGATACTACAGCCATTAGAAGTCTTCCTCCCTCTGCACCTTCATCGGTGGCTGTGGCAGCATCCGCCACAAAGGAGCAGTATCATGTGTGCGCCTGCATGTGTGTGTGCGTGTGTTCGTACAGTGTCCGCGACATTTAGATTTATATTTAACATTTAGATTTAACATTTATATTTAGATTTAACATTTAGATTAAACATATATATTTAACATTTATATTTAGCATTTAGATTTAACATTTAGTTTTAGTATTTAAATGTTGTTGTAAATGTGGAATGACTCCCGAAAATTCACATCACTTTTTTAAATGCTGTTTGAAGCTAAATGTGACCAAATCTTGCTGTTGTTTTTATAATGGGCTGCTTTACAAACGGCACCCCATAGGTGTGTAGTTTTGAGGCTGGTTTCTATCATTGCTGAAATCCTAAACATGCAGAACAAGCATCAGCAATAAACATGAAAAACTCTTTCAGATTTGGTTTTAGATTTATTTTTCACCTTTGAACTGCAAAGCTAATACAAGTGAACACTGAACATTACAATTACTAATGTGTTTGAACAAAAATTCAGTTTAACCAGATGACTTTGACAGCTGTTTTGTAATTAAACACACAAAAGAGTGTTTCATTGCATTAAGAATATATTACAGGACAAAACATGTACTTCACTCTTATGTTAGTTTGTGTATATGAAAGTACACTTCCCTCTTTACGGGTGAGGATGTCTGAGGAGTCAGTGTGTCAAATGGAAATCACTCTGCAGCCTCTCAGTTTACTCAAGCAGACCTCAGTGTGGTCAAAAACAACAGAGAGATATAATCCTGAGCAGGGAGTTAGCAAGAAAACATATTTTAGCCCTCTAAAAGAAGCCCCGCCTCACATTGTATTTGCAACCTAACAATGGTATTTTATTGATCTGTGTCAGCATCATCCCTTCAAGAGCCAATATCACTATTACATATTCTGATTTCATAAATCATGTATTTAAAAAATGTTACTGGCTAAGATAACCATAAGATAACTTGTACATGACTTCTGTTCATTTGATCACAACGGTTACCTCTGATTTTTATTTCTTCTGTAATAATTAAAGATGATCAGAAAGACATCCAAAATTACATAGTGGCAATAATCAAATTAGCTGAATATATTTCCCTGTACAGTTTTTAATGTAATGTTCACTATGTGCATTATTAGTAGGGTCTGTTGGGTGAAAAATCGTTACACGGTGGATAAAAGCATGAAATTTGGCACATATGTCCCTTAGATCATCCCGTAACACCCTAGAAGGGGTGCCCAAAAAAATGTCAAACAGGAAGTGAGTTATTGACAAAATTCAAAATGGCCGCCTAAACAGGTGACAGTTTACTCAAAAAACACCTAAAGAATGTCCAAAAATCATAAAGTTTGGCACACGTCACGCATCCTAGATATAGTGGCCAAAAACAGGAGGTGGATTATTGACGAAATTCAAAATGGCCGCCTAAAGTGTTGCCGATTGATTCAAATAGCCTATTGAATCTCAGAGAAGCATTCTATTTGGCACATATGTCCCTAGGGTCATCCTATTACATCCTAGAAGGGGTGCCCAAAATAATCTGAAACAGGAAGTGAGTCACTGACTAAATTGAAAATGGCCTACAGTGTTGTTGATTGACTCAAAAGTCATCTAAAGAATCTCATAAAACTATAACGTTTCTCACATGTGTACCTTGGGTTATCCTAAACATCCTAGAAAGGGTGCCTAAAGTAATCTGAAACAGGAAGTGAGTTATTGATAAAATTGATAGATGATGCAAGAAAGGGGCAGAAAGAAAGGGAGATGACGCTCACGGTGCAGGCATTATTTTTCAAAACCCTATAAATGCATACAAAACTATTTAAATTACAACCCTCTGCATTTCCACGGGCTTGGGACCGGCACAAGTAGAACACTGGCTTGTGTCCCATTGAGGCTGCATTCAACAGTCCATCCATCCATCCATCCATCCATCCATCCATCCATCCATCTACCTACTAATCGACTGTATCTAATCTATCTATCTAATCTATGTGTCATATCTATCTATCTATCTGAATTGTGTCCCATTGAGGCTGGATCCATCATCCATCATCTGTCCATCATCCATCCATCCATCCATCAGTCCATCCATCCATCTTTTATTCTTTATCTTTTTGCCAAGTGACTCACATGTCCCATTCACATTTACCAGCACATTGGCATAATGCTGTACAAGGTAATCCAGCATCCCGGCATCGACACTTCCGAGAACAGAGGGGCTCAGCTTTGCAGCCACACTTAAGGAGCTCTCTGCAAACTTTGGCAGCCTCTGCCAATCATGTCCATAGCGGTCTCCACAAATCATTGACTTTGGTACATCCAAATTTGTCAGGAGAAGGTAGAGACTGGATAGCTTTTAAGCTGTTGAACCAAATCCTAGATTGATAAACTGCTCGATGTGCATGCTGTAGCAATGCAGCCTGTGTCAGAGGAATGTTTTCCATTGACAGAGATTTCTTAGCAAACAGGTCCCTTCTTAGGTCATTGACATTTTCAATGTCAGTTGTATTGTCGTACAGAACATAGGTGTATCTTTCCAGTAATGAAAATGTCTTTGATTCCACTAGTCACCTGCTATGTCTCGGCTTAAAAATAAGTTGTGCCTATACAGTATATGAGTGCTGGATCTATGGTCATATAAAGTTGTCACAATAAATTACCTATATATAATCATTCATAGGGCCTACTAGAAGTTTTTTGAAAAAGAATTTTGTATCTGGCATCAACAATATATCACTCACAGAAGGAATAATGTGTGAAGTCATGTCTTTCAGAGTACAATTTAAGACAATTTATTCTCATTTAAAGGTCTTTAAAACATATTTTACACATTTTTCTTGGGTGGCTTTGGCCAAATCCTTTATTATTGGTCTATTTACTATAAATGAAAATCTATAATTAGCCGATTAAGCCAAACTCAGAATTAGACCACATTTTAGGAATTATGGTTCATTTATGGCAGCCATTTTGGATTTTCCCCTTTAAAAGCCATTTAATGGGTCCCAATTTTTTGGGCACCCCTTCTGAGATGATGAGATACACCCTTAAGAATGTGTGTACCAAATTTGGTGCTTTTATCCACCGCCTAACAATTTGGCCATTTTTTCGAGTTAACAGACCCTACTATACGGATATAGGAGTAAAAGGACATATTGTGGCGTGTGGTGTATTTTGTGGACCCAGAAGCAGACCCAGAGGCAGATAGCAAATTAAAGATGTAATTTTAATGTCCAAACTCAGGGGGAAAAGACACTAGGAAAGTCTGGTTTGCTGGCTGGCTGTTGTGTGGGCTGGAGACACTGTGGAGGAACAGAGGAGATGGAAGTGAGAAGACATACAAAAATTCACAGCGAGCAAAAAGTCATGAGCACTTACCCGAGAAGCAGGCCAGGGGCCTGTTCTACGAAGCAGGATTACTGCTTAGCGAGGTAACTTCGAGGGTAAGTTCGGGGTTTCCTGTTCTACGATGCGGGTTCACTTCTTAGTGAGGCGAGTCTCCATAGCAACATACGCTGAACGGCTAACCTGCTCCGGGGCAGGTTAAGTTCCAGATTGAACTCACCGAGCATAAAAACCCCGCCCACTGACCAATGAGCTCTCTCGAAAAACGGCTTGTCCGTTCTCGGAGGATCCTGTAGACCTCGGTGCTCGCATTGTCCGAGGAGCACTCCGGCTCGCGAGAGTTTTCAGGGCCCGCACGGACCCACTTACTTTTCCGGATGACCACCTTTATGAAAGGCTCATATGGCCGACATATCACACAAAACATGTAAACACGATAGGAATGAACAAATGAGTGAATTTATCTTGGAAATGAATGGGCATGAGCTGCATGGGCTGTGTGATCACAGACAACATCTCGGTACTATTTAGTAGCAGCGCATGCCCCTTTTAATAACCCCCGTAAATACTGTTGTTCAGGACTGCTTACTTGTGCTTCCTACCCACTGTAATAGCCCTTGTTCTAGTCCACATGCAACATTTTTGTTCTCATTCATGAAACGCTTAAATCGGGAAAATATCCGGGTACAGCTTTAGACGGGGACAGATCATCCAAGAAAAAAGAAAAAAGAGGACTTGAGCACAAACCAGTCTTACAATAACTACATATCAACACCACAAGCAGGGGGCAGAAAAATTTATATTCTGTCTAATAAATTTCTTAAGTTTGTCCACAGCCCCATAAGTTTTGCTAGTTGAGGCGGGATTTATGAACTATACTGCAGCCCATCAACAGAGGGTGCTGTTCTCGGAGTGGCTTCACCCAGCAAGAAGGCAGACGCTGTCCATTCTATATACAGTCTATGATTGGACCAGTCTCTTTTGCATACTACTACCCACAATGCAAAGCACCTGGTCAGAGTTTCAAGTGCCGTGATGTGAATCAAACACTACTGGACCTACAAGTCATTGCAAAAACAGAACACATTTTGATGTCAGGCTATAAAAATCCAGAAATTTCTGTATCTATATCTATACTATATACAGTCCATATGTATGATGTACATCTGTATACTGGAAACCAGCTAAACTGGGCCAAGCAGACTGCATAGTTACAGCCGACTGGCAGTCATACTGCATAGTACTGTCGAACACAGTATGCAGTTTGTACTGCGTCACCCTGATGTGACTGTAGACTGTTAAGTTGTCTCAGATGCTAATTTGGCGCTCAGAGTCATTCTGATTGGTTGACACATATCTACGTACTCTGTTAACTTGAGTTGTCTCTCTGTTAGCTTCCTGCAGATTTCTGCGTCCTCCAGGAAACGCTCAGTGAAAATGTCTCCACTGAACATGTAGACTTCATGTTAGCCCGGCGGCAGTGGAAGAAGATGGAGGAGGAGGTCAAAGGTCAGCCCATTCCCAAACCAGGACTCAGAGCTCCAAGCAGCTTCCAGGGCACCTACTCCTCGCTGTACCCCCCAACCCGCAGCCCTAGACTCAAACACAGGTAGACTGGCTGACAGCCTCTCTTTATGGTTAAAATTATGTTTTTTGTAGCATGAGGGTGTTTTCTTTTGAGTGAAGGGCTGGATTTCATTTATGTGTTTTCAATTATTCTTTCTGTGTCACAGGTTGAGGGAGATTAAACCCAGCAGCCCCATCAGTTCATCTATAAACTGTTTTATCTCCACTCGTGCACAGACTACAGACTTCACTGCGGTTTATGAGGCACTGAATCATAGAAATGAACACAAATGCAAGACATGGCAGGCAGGAATCAAAAGTTCAAGTCTGTTTATGAGTAACTTGGTACATGGGAGGTCAATCAGAAAACAAGCAGGGGTATTCAAATCTTCAGGTACAATGATCAGGAAGCTTTGCCTGGTGTGCAAATGAAAAATCTCCATATTTCTTAGTGTGGTTTGTTAAAACCCTTATTTGGCATGATCCAGCATTTACTTGAAACACTATAACCTGTGCTTCATCTTCTGTCCACTCAAAGGGAGATCCATCAGCCTGTGCCCAGAGAGCCACCCCTGTCCTCCACCCTGTCCCCCAGTTCAGAGGACTCAGGCTTGGACGACTCATTGTACCGCAGTCCCCTGGAGGAGCAGGAGACGGCTGTGGAGAGAGAAATCCGACTTACTCTGGAGAGGGAGGAGCGACACCGCAGAGAGAGAGGGCTGATCGCTCAGGGCCTGAATATACCAAGGTAACTGACACTTTAGTGTAAAGTTTGGGTTTTCATGTGTAAATGTCTTTTTGTCTCCTTATAGATAGAGGTCTGAGGTTTCATCTGTGTCTGACTGGTTGGTTAGTGTTGTTTTTTTTCTTACACTGCATTCAGACCGTCCACCCTGCAGACGGGACGATCTCCACCCAGACCTCCAGCCTGCCGCACACCCACCCTGTCCATTTCCCCCTCTCCCTCTTGCTCCTCCTCCCTCCCTCTGTCTGCCTATCACGAGATGACAGCCAACAACGTCATCATCCTGGAGCCTGACTGCTCCAGCTCAGCCTCTAGAACGCGCCTCATCACTTCTGCCATCGGGGGCCTCTCTGATTGGCCGCTGAGCCAAGACGCGGTGCCCTCTGCCAATGTCATTGTGGTGGAAACATCCAATCTGATCATTCGCAGTGCCTCTGAGTTCTGCCTAAGCTCCACCCCCGTGTCCATGGAACCACAGGAGAGCACGTTCACGTCCAACCCCTTCTTTAAGCTGCGCTCGCTAAGCAGCCAGTCACTGGTGGAGCAGGAGATCCGCATGGTGAGGCAGAGGGAGGAGGAGTGGAGGAGGCAGAGGGAGGAGATGTGGAGGCGGAGGCGGGAGGAGGAGTGGAAGAAAGGGAGAGAGAGGTACGATACTGTGCTGGTGTCTCCAGGCCTGAATGACACCATTAGTTACAACGGTGAGTAAAGACAGGATGCTTCATGGAGATCACAAACTCCCTGAGAATATCTCTGTGAGTTTGGATGACCGCAATCCCAGATGGTAGTTTTCCAATCTGGGGCTCATTGTGGGCTTTGTGCTTGGCTATAAAAAGGTATTAAAATACCATCCGACTGAAAGCTGATTATCCTTGTGTTGGAGTTGTCAAGTTTATCTTTGATTTAATCTGACTGCAGAACAAACTGGAGCACCTGATTACAGAGAGGAAACAGACTAAGTCATTGACATGTAGATCCACATTATGTCTTATGAATGCGCCACATTATTAAACTCTAATACAGAGGTCCTCAAGGTTTTGATAGCTGAGGGGCCAATTTAGGAACCCAACATCTGAGAGCCACCAAAGGATAAAAATATGGACAAAAAAAAAACTGAAAAAAACTGAAAAAAATCCAATTTTTAATCATTTTAATGACTAGGTTGCATCTCTACAGTATACATGTACTGGTCTTCAAGTAGTAATGTGCAATAAACACATTTAAATTAATAAATTAGGAGAAAAGCCAAAACCCCAAAGTAGGCATTTGTGCACTTATCTTGAAACCGTCTTTTCTCCCTGCCAACACCTTTTTTTCTCAAGGGGCAAAGGGAGGCTAGAGATGTCGTTGCTGTCTGTACACATCACAGTATGCCTTTTTTTGTTATTTTTTAAATTTTCAAATATTTTTTTTTTGAGTTCTTTCGGTGGCCAAACCAGGTTTTCAAAACTTGGATACATTCCTGAAATAGGGATGTGGCGTTTACATGGACAGATGGAAAAATGGGATACTTTAAAACCTGATCATAACTGGAATACTCAATTCCATCAATCAATCAAACTTTATCTATAAAGCACTTTTTATACATAGAATGTAGCACAAAGTGCTGTCAATTATATTAAAAACAATAAAATAAAATAAATAAAAATACCGAACATTACCCACCCTCCCAACCCCCATTCAAAACATACTGTAACAGGTATTGTATGAACCCAAATGCAGTACAAACAAGGCACAGAATCGATGTTCAGTCAATAGATTTATTATCAGGAATCTGGCACACAGACAGTTCAGTGGCTGGGCAGGTGGCTTGGTCAGGGCAGGCAGAAGTTCAGAAACCAGGAGGCAAGCAGACCAGGCAGACAATCCAAAGGGGGGCAGGCAGAGCTCGTAGTCAGGAACAAAAGGCTGAGGCAATTTACCAGGAGGCAGACGAAGCAGGCAGGTCGTAGACAGGCAGGGTCGGCACTGGGAAGACAGGCAGAAGAACGCTGGAAAGTCTCGGATGGCAAAGAACAATCTGGCACTGAGTGAGTGTGAGGCTGGAGAATATATACTGAACAGAAGGCAGGGGAGCTGTTTCGTGAGTGAGGGCAGGTGTGTGATTACTGAGTAAGAAGGCAGGTGTGTGATCAGTGACTGAGAGTGGGTGTGGTAATCAGGGAGTGGGTGTTGTGTGAGCAGGGCAGTGGAAAATTACTGAGTCCATGGGGAAAGGCTGGAACAGAATGAGGCTGTTGCTGTGTACGAATTGCCCGCTCGCATACTACATACTACTGCTACATACTACTGCTAGATCCTACTCCTACATACTAAACACGATGGCCCAATTCGGACACACTAGATGAGCGGTGGGGAAAGACGACCCCTGCAGGCAGAGTGTAGGTACTGTGCCCGTTTTAGACTCTTTAAATGGTAATTGTGCAAGTGATGGATGCTGCTGTATTATATTCCTGCACTGCTTTAGAAATTTACAAAGTAGCTTTTCCATTAATTTTAGCCTTCATTCACTCACGTGGTGATCGTTTGCTCAATGAGATCTGCCTGATTACTGCAGCTGTGCAGTTTAATGATGGAATAAGTGAGCTTTACCTCCAAGATATCGCCACATATATGCTCACAAAATGATTACCTGGGCAAATATGACACCATGACACGACAAAGAGATACAACCGCACATTTTTTAGGACAGTGTGTGAAGTTACATGAAACTTACATCTGTACTGCTGCGGTTCTGCCTGCTGCTGCTCCGCCATGGTGCGCGCTGCTGTGGCCAGCCGGTGTTCGCGACGCATCTATATCTATAAATAGGCAGCAGCTGGTGGCGCTAGCATCACATGTGCTTCTACAACTTTTAAGAGGACGAAGAAGAAGCCCGCGGTGCATTTTGGGTCAGTAGCATGCCCGTAGGATGCACCGCGACCAACCTACAATGTGGGCGTGTCTAGTATCTTAAGTAGTATCTGAAGTAGCATGCTACTCACTCTGATGGCCAATTCGGACATGCTACATACTACTTCGACTACTACTTGGCAATTCGGACGCAGCAAGTGTCTCATTTCAGAGACGACGCCGTTGAACAGCACATTTGAAGCGTGCATGATGTCATCACGCGGCGCGAATGGTGTCCCATTTGGCACGAAATGCTAAGCGCGCTTAGCATTTTTCAAGCGTGCATTTATGTTATTTATGCCATTGGTATCCCAGAATTCTTTGCGTGCCGCTGCACAGCTGCGCATTTCGGGTGAGAGGCTGGACTCGCTTGGAGACGCAGCACGTCTTTAAAGAAAATACAAGAAATCCAAAAACAGCAGACAGTCAGCTTAGGCTGCATGAGCCTATGATCTCTGAACTCACTAAAATCTGTAAACCAAACATTGTAGTATTTAAAGACAAACTGATCCGCTCTGCTACAACAATCAAACACATTAGAAATAAGAAAGCTGACAAAACTACAGCAGAGTATCAGGACAACATTGAGTATTTTTTTTCTTTTAAGATTTAGAGATTAACGTTGTTAATTTAGGAGAATAAAGTCAAAGTAAATAGTCATAAAGCTGCTTTTGTGGAGGGGGAAATGACTGAAGCTGGTCATCTGCAGAGTTATCTGAGGATGTATCAGTGGGTCATTCAGAGAGTTTTTGTGGTTTCTGAAGAAACAATCAAACTGATGATCAACATTTGTGATCCAGAGGGAGTCGAGCTCCGACGAGCACCACATCTCTGACACCGGCGGTAACCTACACCTGCAGAGACACCAACACCTTATTATGGCAGATGGATTCATATCATAAACTAAAGCTCAATGTCATTCACGGATATTCACGGCTGCATAAACGGATATATCCTCAGCATATTCATTTCTGCCTCCATTTCCCCGTGGAAAAGATGTATTTCTCATATATTCTTTTTTAAGTCTTTATACTTGTGACAATGTAATGCTGATGTGCCAAAGGATGAAGTATCTCCTTGTTGTGAAACCTATACTGAAGTTCCTTTAAATGCTTCATGGCCCTAATTTTAACAACTCTCCTCTGAAATAACAGGTAACCTTATGAGTTTATTCTCATAAATTAATGACTTTATTCTCGTAAATTCACGACTTAAACCTCTCACCCGAAATGTGCAGCTGTGAGCGGCACGCAAAGAATTCTGGGATACCAACGGTACGAAAGCGTGCTTAAATGCACGCTTGAAAAGGGGGCGGGGGTAGTGTGGTTTTGAGACCGATGCTGGGCAGCAGCAGGCAGGACCGCAGCAGTACAGGTGTAATTTTAATGTAACTTCACACACTGTCCTAAAAAATGTGCGGTTGTATCTCTTTGTCATGTCATGGTGTCATATTTTCCCAAGTAATCATTTTATGAGCATATGTGTGGCGATATCATGGAGGAAAAGCTCACTTATTCCATCATTAAACTGCACAGCTGCAGTAATCAGGTAGATCTCATTGAACAAACGATCACCACGTGAGTGAATGAAGGCTAAAAGTAATGGAAAAGCTACTTTGTGAATTTCTAAAGCAGTGTAGGAATATAATACAGCAGCATCCATCACTTGCACAATTACCATTCAAAGAGTCTAAAACTGTCAGCACGGGCGCAGTACCTACTCTCTGCCTGCGGGGGTCGTCTTTCCCCACCGCTCGTCTAGTGTGTCCGAATTGGGCCAACGTGTTTAGTATGTAGGAGTAGGATCTAGCAGTAGTATGTAGCAGTAGTATGTAGTATGCGAGCGGGCAATTCGGACGCATCAACAGCCTGTACACATACAGCACTCACACACACAGATGCACACACAGAAGACCAGGGGCCTCATTTATCAAACGTGCGTAGAAAAGGTTCTAAATTCTGGCGTTGGAATGAAATTTAGAATGTGCGTAAGTACAAAAAAATCCATATTTATCAAATGTGCGGACACCGGTCGTACGTAATCGGTGATGATAAATCCCACCTGTTCTTTACTACCGTGCTCGTGCGTGGTTAGGGTCATTTGCATTCAGAAATGCCTCCAATTGACCATATATGGTATCAACAATCCCTTTAAAAATGCCTGAATGAATTTTTTTCTTTCTCCTGGAGGTGCACACTCACAGAGCTGTTTTGCAGAATGAATGAGTCGTGCGTTCTTCCAGACAACAACAGAAACAAATGTGCATCGCACATTAATTGTGCATGGATTGAATGAAATCTTTTCCTGTTGACAAATCTGAATTTATTGTGTGAAGGTGCCTTTATTGCGATGTGGGTGCAATCTATGGCTCCAATTATGTCCGGCAATCCGGTGATGGCATGAAATACTCGTTTTATTTTGGCTTGTTGTTGATGTGTGTTTGGGAACTGGATGTAAATTGAGGCCAGAGAAATTATTACATCCAACTCTGCCGGCATGATTCTGCTTAGCACTGGCTGCGAAATATCGCATATCTCCAATCTCACGCTGAAATGTTCCGGTTAGGGTGAGCAGGAGCTGGATATGCGCTGGCTTTGGTGCGTTTTGTTTCTCACTCCGACGCGGGAAGTAAATCACTGCGTAAATCCATTAAAATGTTTTGGGGAAGCGGTACCTGCTGAGAAGCCACTCCGTGTTCTCACTGAACAGATCAGCACGCTCTTTGAAAACGCGCTCCCTGCGGAGGAGCAGACGCCTCTCCAAGTCCTCCAATAGCGCAAAATAAACCATGATACTTGTATTTGTACTTGTTAGACTTCTTTTGAGGTTGTTCTGTCACAGCAGATTTTTACAGCTTGTGTCACCAATCATTCAAAATGTCTGTTAAATTACTAATTGATAAATCTTGTATAGAGGCAACAGAGAACATGTGTGAAGTTTGAGATTGCTGAACGCTGTGACTCCTTTAATGGGTTCTATTTGTAGTCTAACTGTTCAACCACTATGTTTTGTATGAACGCATGGTCAGAGTTGTGCTTAAATTTACGCACGTTCATAAGCACAAGTACAGGTTGATAAATTCCAGACATTGCGTGGGACTATTCGTACGCACTCATTACGCACACATCTGTGCATACGCACGGTTGATAAATGAGGCCCCAGGTGAGGACTCTTCATTCAACTTGTCACAGATGACTGAGGAAATGCTATCTTGAGTTAAAAAAAAAAAAAGGAAACAGTCCATGTAGTCCATGTACATGCACTCAATGCTGAAACTGAAAGATGTTATTGTTTCGTTCAAATCTTTGCTCATTTGAATTTAAAGCTTGCAGCATGTTCATAAAAAATAGTTACAGGATCATGTTCCTTTTTGTATGTCCTCAACTCTTCTTTTTCTAACTCTGTAAATGTAAGTGAACCCAGCAGACCAGTTTCTAGGGTTTGGAAAGTAAACTCTTGTCCCATTCTTGCCTTAGAAAGGATTTTAGCTGCTCAGCAGTTTAGAGTCTCTTTTGTCCTATTTTTGGTGTCTTGATGCTTCAAATGTTTTCAAAGGTCAAAGAAAAGGAAAGCAATATTTATGTCTTTCAGCTTGCAAATAATCTTGTTTACTAACAATGTAATGGGTGTAATAAGTAATGAAATAAGTTCAATGTGATAATAATTACTTGTGCTCTTTTACTTAAGGGTCCGAGGTCCCGGACAGGAGTGTTTCCTCCCCTTCGTCCCCCTCCAGGACCCGCAAAATGGAACGGTCCAGTTTGTCCTGTGACCAAAAGGTGGGCTGACCAACACACACACATACACATGTGCACACACACATTAACACAAACACTGAGTTAATTCTGTCCTAGTTGGAGCTCTTGAATTGACTAAATGTTAGATGATGACGGTTATCTTAGTCAGCAGTTTTCAGATAAAGTTACAGCCTAAATGAAGAACCAACACATCCAGCAGACAGAGTCATATGATGATGTTTTTTAGACTAACCTCATGTCACAATTGTGAGAGTTTTTTTTAGCCTTTATTTAACCAGGTTGGTCCTATTGAGATTACAAATCTCTTTTGCAAGGGACACCTGGCCAAGAGGGCAGCATAGTTCCTTCAACAGATAAAATTCACACCATTTCAACATTAAAACAATCTCACATAAAACATTTACATACAGATGAGGTAAATTGTAATGATTTCACAATAGTTTTAAATTCATTTTGTGTCACAAGCGTTTGAAGGCAAAGTTCAGACTGTAGTTTGTTTTAGGTATTAGGTGCTGAAAACCTAAAACCTTACCATCTGTACCTGCACGGATCTGATCTCCACAGGGAGAGAGTTCACAGCACAGCAGAGATATGGAAATGAGCCTTTCGCTACAGTCTGGGCCATTGAGATACCTGTGTTTATTAATGTGCATTGTCCCTAAATAAAAAAAAAGGATGCTGACAGCCCAGCTTCACAATCAGACACAAAACAGGGCCTATTAAAGCGATGTTTAATGGATAACGTCTGAGATGAGTGACAGGATACAATATTATTGGGGATAGTAGCACCTTCAACTCATTCTTGGCAGATTTACCTCTTTTTATTGATCCCCTGAACAGATAAATATAAATATCTTCTCTTTTTATGGCATGAAGAGCCTTTCTGGTCATATTGTGCTTCAGTGATATTGATTCATGAATTTGATGTTTTTGTGTTAGTAAGGTGAAATGATTTTACTACACTGCAGCTGACTGTTTTTTACTCTATGTACACTCACAGCATGCCAGTCATATTTTCTTTTGAACTCTCTTTGGTAATTGATTTCTTCCTTTGCTCATTCATTCATTTGTTACCTGAATTGATTGTGAACTGTCTGATCTGTTAATCAGTTTGACTGATTAATTCTTTACTCCATCAGTTCACAATTTAGCAGAGTTTTCATGATTTAATTCCCCTTTTCATCAAGTCATCACTCATGTATTCATCGTAAACGACCATCTTTTGTTCATTTCTCTGGCAGTCATTCATCTATTGATCCATCCATCTATTCGTCTATCCATCTATCCATCCATTTATCTATCAATCAATCCATCAATCCATCCATCCATCCCTCTATCCATCTTGACTCCAGTGGTTCAGCTGAATCTCCTCCTTCCTCCCCCTCCTTCCCACCCTCCAGTTCCCCCCCTCCCTCTCCTCAGCACCACGTCGTCAGAACACCATGGCCCAGCGATGGGAAGCGTCTCTGTTAGCCAATCAGAAGAAGGAGTGAGCATGGACCAAAAGGAGGCGCTGTTTGCTGCAGTGTTTGTTTGAATCTGTGGATTCAGGAGGATGGCTCACAGCTCGGATTTATTTTCTAAAGAAGGCTGGAGGTCAAAGGTCAAGATGTTTGGCCCGGTTTAAGAAGAGAGGAGCAGTGTTTCTGTCAGAGGTCAGGATTTTTGACCCTGTTTTATCTCCATCAGGACGTCTGGAGAGGACAGGTCGCTCTATGCAGGACACCTGAGACAGCAGGACTTGAATTAAAAGTCAGACATTCCTGTGAGGGTGATTATTGTTGAACACAAGGGCCCTCATTCATCAAGCTTGCGTACACCTTGCATACAAAAATTTTGACGTGAGGATCGGCATTTATCAATCTGCACGTGAGCGTACACTACGACCAAATCTCACGACAGATCTGACATTGTGTACGCAAGTTTGAGTCAGTGTGGATCTGCAGTGCAGCAAATGTCTGTCTCAAAATAATCGGTATACAAACCTCAAACCTGTCATTAAGCTCAATCAGCCAGATTTCATTAAAGATTAAGACGTAAATAAAATAAAATAAAATAAATTTGTTATGTCCTTAGTGAATAGGCCTATTTGATAACTCTGCCCAGGAACACTGCCACAGAGCAGGAGCGCCGTTTCAACATGGCGCGCGTGCGCACACACACACACACACACACACACACACACACACACACACACACACACACACACACACACACGCCACTGTGGAGCACTGCGTTTGACTCCTAAAAGGCAGGTGTCTCTGTCTTGGCCCAGCAGCGGGGACGTTGTTGTACATTCCTGAAAGGGTGTGGGACATAATTTGGGCCGGTAAAGTTTTGCACAATGTTGCACTGGCGAATGGAGTGCCGTTGGCTGTGCTGGTGCAACGTCAGGACCTGATGCCCGGAGAATAATAACGAGGAGAGTCTCCACAAAAGGTGCTGTACAGAGGAGACAGGACCTTTTCGATGGATTCTGACATGTAAAGTATAGGTTAAGAAAGTGCTCTTGCTATTTAATCAGTGATAAAAATCCAATAGAAATCCATAAAAATGTGCCTCAGGGGCAGCAACACACCGTTTGGTGACATTAATAATTATTTTTGTTCAGCCTCTGTCAGACTCTCCAGTCTGCTCTACATTACAAAGACGCAACAAATTAAAACTAAATACTTTCAACAATAGGAGCAACATAGCCCATGCCATGGCAATAAAAAATATGAGGCATGTATGAGATATTCATTTATCATCATGAGCAACTTATTGACTAATGATTTCTTCAAACTTCAGCCACTGTCCGCTATTCCGCGGCAGCGCTGTTCAGCGCCACCATAATCCTGCTCCAGACAGGAGTTTTCTGGACTGCTTTTATACCAGTTTTGATGCTTCCAAAGAGCAAATCCTTGTTAGTTTCCACCACAGATGTGAGGATATCCACTTTCAGCTCGAAAAAGTTTCGCATTTTTCTAATATTTCTCCTCTTTCATGTTTGACCTCAGTGGGCGAGGCTTCTGAACCACGAATATTTAAGGGCGTAAACATGTTAATGACGAACGATTTCAGCCGCCGCATTTATCAAGACCCGATCATACGTACGATGGGATTGGTCAGATACAAACCCTTTCATAAATCTCACGTGTGTCCTATCGTAGGATGAATCCGGCGCTCAGATCTGCACTCAGATCTGCGCAAGATTGATAAATGAGGGCCAAGAAGTGTAGTGCTAATACATGTTCATATAAATTTGCACTCATGATAGTATGGCTGTTTCTGACACGTGGCCTATATTTTTATGTGATGTAAACTCGTGGAAGCACTTGTTGCAAACGGCTGTATTCTCCTTCAATGTTTATTATCCTCAGCACTTTTTTCTGTGTGTTATTTATAGATATTTACAGACTTTGAATGACCATAACTTTCTGCTTCACAGTGATTTTCAAACTGTTATTTTTGGCTGAAATAGTTAAGCTGTAGTTTGTGACTAAGACAGCTCACTTTGTTTGTACTGTAGCCCTGCACAGACAAAGAGTGACAGGGAAAATATTCAGTATGGAAAGTTTTCATAATGTCAAAGTTTGAAATCAATGATTAAGAGTTTGGATGTGCCAGGTTTCAGTGTCAGCCATCGTGACTAATCAGACTAGCCTTGGTCCTCTTTCCAAGGTTTGTTGGAGAATAGGCCGATACAGGGTCTTTGCTGAGGATGCTGTGGTCTGCTTCATGGCTTTACTCCTTTATAAGCATGCAACAAAACCCTGCAGCACAAGGCTCAGAAATGAACGATTAATCTGTCAGGGTTTGATACCAAACAAGAAAACAAGTTTATCAGCATGCTACTTAACAAACCGCTATTATACTACTGAACGAAGTCTAAACATCACAACACACAGAGGAGCACCTTCTGGTTTCTGAATACACACTCAGGTGTGACGGGTGGTGACGGTCCATAGACTGAATATAGAATGGACAGCGTCTGCCTCCTCACTGTGTGAAGCCACCACGAGAACGGCACCCTCTGGTGACGGGCCGCAGTATAGGTCATAAATCCCGCCTCTGTGGGACAAACTTTAGCAATGTATTACACAGAATATATATTTTTTTCCCCCCTGGTTGCGATGTTGACATGTAGTTACTGTAAGTCCTCTTTTTTTCTGCACAGCTCCATTTTTAAAAGTTATTAGGGGGTTCATGTTTTCTATGATTGACATTTGATACAGCCTATTGGCATATAAAGATTGTGTAGCTCACCCCAGGGGGTACGCTGTTTGAGCAGAGCCACATCACGGCAACTCTCCCGCTGAATACTACTGCGGAAGTGGTGGTTTCAGGAAGTGGAGAAAATCCTGAAAATACCAAGAGCAATTCGGCTTCAAATTTGTATTATGACGGAAGTCGGAGCTCCGTTGTCCATAGTATATACAGTCTATGATACAGTCTAAGTAAAGATGTGACCACACACAGGTGACATGTAGAAAAAGAAACCAGAACAAGGGAAGGAAACAAGTGAAGTCTGACAGTTAAAAACAGAAAAATGAAAAATTATTGACAGAGTAAAAAAATATGTACAAGTATAAAAACATAAACATAGACACGATGAGATGACCACAGACATGGCGAAGCAAACTGATGTGATGAAACAAACACAGACATGATGAACACAAAGAAGTTTGTTTTTATTATTCATGTCAGTTTAAGTTGTTTTTTCTTCCGATGGTTCAGGGTTCAGATGGACTGACATGCCTTTTCTGTTGGGGTTTAAAGCCTGTGAAGTTGACTGAACTGAGTCTGATGTCTCATGGAGATTCAGGGTCCCAGACTCTGCCGGGGTTTGAGTTTCAAGTCTGTCAGTAAAGGTTTTTAGCTTTACGTTTGAGCTTTAGCTGTGTTAGCATGGCGTGTTTCTGTCATGGCCAAAACTCTGTGGTTCTCTACTAAGGTGAGGGTTTTTACATATTTTCACATCTTGCATTGATTCCTAACAGAGATTACTGGACTGTATTTTTGCTGCATATATTTATGACTGCATATAGCTTTTATTGTTAAAGGTCTATATTTATAGTGTCAGTATGGTTAGGCTGCTGTTTTTTTTCAAGGGAGGACATGTGTTTGCTGAATATGCATGTTTGTATGAGTTAGTTTTTTTATGACTCATCAACTGGAAACTGCGGAGTATGACTAAACTCACAGCCAAGTTTATTCACTGTTTAATCTAATGGATTTAACATTGTTTCAGTCTGGTTAAATAAACTCACTCTCTTTAATAGGACCAAATCACCATTAGCTGCAGAACAATTTTACATTGGAGGTGACATGATGAGAAAGAGGAGGATTTTAGTCGATGTGATGATCCAGCAGTTAGTTTAGTCTGATAGGATTAAAATGTTACATTTCAACAGTATTTTCCTGTCTTTTACTCTTTCTTTTTAAGTCTACTCAAACTCAGTCTTTTCCGTCATCCTCTTTTTCATACACTCCCTCTAACAATAATGGAGTCTGCTTTTCTATATCTCTTACCTTTCATTTGTATAAAGCAGAAACTCAAACCTTTTTTTTTTTTTTTTTTGATCGCCAGATCATTTAATTGCTTGGGATGAAAATCCTCCTCAGACTGATACAAAATTATATAATTTTTGGTTATATGTGTGTTGAATTGAATTATTGTACACATGAAAGAGAACCCAAAATTTGATTTATAGAAACAACGGGAGCTGGAGAGGGACATTTTTCATAGAAATTTAAGGTTGCATGGCTCTTCAAAGCCAAACTATTGCAAACAAGGTGAAACAGCTTGATCTACAGCTGTAATTTGAGAAAATGTTTTAATTTATTTTTTGGCTGATGTAAATGAGCTCCAGCTGAACTTTAGTTTTGTTTGTTTGTTTGTTTTATGCTTTAAACTGTTTTGATGTCAAGTACTTGGACTTTGTTGAGATGATCACATATGAGCCTGTCTTAGGAGTGTTTATTTAGAGCAGCTTTTTGAGAAGATGGTCTGTTTAATGGTTTTCTGTATGACAATATTTAATATTTCACACTGCTGTTTACTCAGTTTGAACTCTTATCTGTTACATCGACACCTTGTTTAGTTTCTCATCACCCTTACTTCTTGAGACAGTCTGCTTCTCCACAAGATCAAGTTTTTCAGAAAACTGAGAGTGAAAGCTGAGAGTGCTCGTGATCACTCTGCCACCCAATAAAAACAGGAACTCTGACCAAAGCAGCTCATTTCAGCTTATTTCATCCAGTTCAGTTTCTCTCTTTCTGAATTCACAGCTCCAGCAGTGCTGCTGATGTTCCTCTTAAATAAACTCTGATGGACACAGATCTAGGACTCAGCTCAGACTCTTTCAGCTCTCTTCTTTTCTCTCATTTCTTTCTTGGATCTCTGAGTTTGTTCACTCAAGTTTCAGTTTCCATCATGTTTTATTGCCAAATGGAAAGTGTGCTGCTGACTTGATCAATAAAGCCTCCCGAAACCTGTGTGTGTGTGTGTGTGTGTGTGTGTGCGTGCGTGCGTGTAACTTTTAATTTCCTCAAAAAATTGAATTAAAACTACTAGTTTAAAAAAAAAAGTTATAATGTAAAAAATAATAATTGCTATTGCCCCGCCAAATTAATTTGGTGTCCTTAACATGAACTGAATCTAACATGTGCAAACACATCAGATGTTGGGCACAACAAGGGTTGAGATCTGATCTGGATCCACATTTTTTTTACATGTATCATGTTTACAGCATATCAGGGCAAGAAAAGTCTGTTCACGATACCACCTGAACACTCTGCTCTTACTCAATTCAACACTTTTAGCAAGCCAGTTATCAATGATAATAATATTGAAGCTGCATGCAGTATGTCAGGTGATCCTAACACCAGACCATATCAGCTGACAGCTCAGCTGATCACCTTCTACCATCCAGAAGTCAAATGTTTTTCAGCCTGCCTACTCTGCCTGCTTTCTCAACAAACCATTGTGCAACCCTCCTCTACCCCGGCTCCTCCTTTTTGTTCTGTGTCTGATCTAACCAGTGTCATATGGATTGTCACTGATGCAGATGTTTTCAGTTCTGAGATTTTTGCTGCTGCCTTCCCTGCCTTGTTTTTTCATGTATGTACAGGACTGTCTCAGAAAATTAGAATATTGTGATAAAGCTCTTTATTTTCTGTCATGCAATTAAAAAAACAAAAATGTCATACATTCTGGATTCATTACACATCAACTGAAATATTGGAAGCCTTTTATTATTTAAATATTGCTGATTATGGCATACAGCTTATGAAAACTCAAAAATCCTATCTCAAAAAATTTGAATATTTCCTCAGACCAAGTAAAAAAAAAAGATTTATAAGAACAAAAACAAAATCAAACATTTGAAAATGTCAATTAATACACTCAGTACTTGGTTGGGAATCCTTTTGCACAGATTACTGCATCAATGCGGCGTGGCATGGAGGCAATCAGCCTGTGGCATTGCTGAGGTGTTATGGATGCCCAGGATGCTTCAATAGTGGCCTTGAGCTCATTTGCATTGTTGGGTCTGGTGTCTTTCAGCTTCTTCTTCACAATACCCCACAAATTCTCTATGGGGTTCAGGTCAGGGGAGTTGGCAGGCCAATCAAGGACAGTAATGCCATGGTCAGTACACCAGTTACTGGTGGTTTTGGCACTGTGGGCAGGTGCCAGATCATGCTGGAAAATGAAATCATCATCTCCATAGAGCTTTTCAGCAGACGGAAGCATGTAGTGCTCTAAAATCTCTTGGTACACAGCTGCATTGACTCTGGACTTGATGAAACACAGTGGACCAACACCAGCAGCTGACATGGCTCCCCAAACCATCACTGACTGTGGGAACTTCACACTGGATTTCAAGCAACTTGGATTTTGCTCCTCTCCAGCCTTCCTCCAGACTCTGGCGCCTTGACTTCCAAATGAAATACAAAACTTTCATCTGAAAAGAGGACTTTGGACCACTCTGCAACTGTCCAGTGCTTCTTTTCCATAACCCAAGTCAGACGCTTCTTCCGTTGTCTTGAGTTCAGGCTGCGGTCCTCTCTCTTGGTTGTGCAGCGTTTCCTGCCACATTTCCCCCTTCCAACAGACTTTTTGTGAATGTGCTTTGAAACTGCACTCTGTGAACAGCCTGCTCTTTTAGAAATTTCTTTTTGTGTCTTACCCTCCTGATGGAGGGTGTCAATGATGGTCCTCTGGACAGCAGTCAGGTCAGCAGTCTTCCCCATACTTGTGATTTAGTTTACTGAACCAAGCTGAGTGTTTTTAAAGGCTCAGGAAACCCTTGCAGGTGTTTCAAGTTAATTAGGCGACTCAAGTGATTAGTTAAATAGCCTATTAGTATACTTTTTCATGATATTCTAATTTTTTGAGATAGGATATTTGAGTTTTCTTAAGCTGTATGCCATAATCAGCAATATTAAAAAAATTAAAAGGCTTGCAATATTTCAGTTGATGTGTAACGAATCCAGAATGTATGACATTTTCATGTTTTTAGTTGCATTACAGAAAATAAAGGACTTTATCACAATATTCTAATTTTCTGAGACAGTCCTGTAGATGATACAGAGTAGTGGTGTACTCTCCCTGCTGCAGTGCATTGGTACTCCAGAGCACATCTTCTGGTTCTGGTTGCTGGAAGTTCTTGTTGTTTGGTTCTCTTGGTTGCTGGGTTTTTTTTTTATTATTTGATTCCTATTGTTACTGTAGGTTCTTGTACCTTCCTGTGGTGACGGTGAAATTGATGTTCAGATTTTTCCCCTGTTGGTTTCTATGCTTTGTTGTTATAGTCTATCTGCTCCTGCTTGTCTGAAAAAGCACCTTGTGTAACCCTTGAATCTAACGGTGCTGCGTAAAACAAGTGAAAACAATTTTTGTTGTGCCAGTGTGCAAGGTCTTTGATCATGAGTAACTTGTACAGTTTGTGTTTATTGGATAAAATTGTGTTCTCACAATGAAGCATTCAGGTTACCAGCAGATCTTCAGTATAAACATGATCACAGTGTAAGAATCCCAGCTCTTCTTATTTTTTTTAAGTTAATGATAGAAACAGTCAGAGGACTTTAGGCTGAGACGATCTCTGTCCATCCTCTTTGTGCTCTTTGTGTGGACTGAATCTGTCCTACACCTACAGCATTGACCTCACTGTGTCTAATCAATGAGGCCCATCTGCCAGAGCCAATCACACATAATCACAGACTTAAACACAGACACACGCGCACACACAGATAATTTAATGAGAACACATGAGTGCCAGTATGAACTAAGTCAGACTGAGATCCAGCATGTCGAGAGAAGAAACACCTGAATGATTCACGCATTGTGGAATTAGTTATAATCAGAATCAAAGAATTAACAGACACGCTGATCATCGAACATCATGTCTCACATCAAGTGTTAAAAGATAAGATTGGCTGTCAGTCATGATGACTTTGTAATAATGAGAACAATGATGATGAAAGTAGAATAATGAGTATGGAAAGTCATTTGAACTTTTAATAGCTCAACTGGATATATGTTGCAGATATCTGTAATTCAATTTTGCCTGGTCAAAAAGAACATTTCATATATCCACAATATCATTCTGCCCAGCGTTACTTTTCCATTCATGTGTATGGGGTTTCACATTACAGATATCTCAGCTATGGGGGGGGGGGGGGCACACAGGCACACACACACACACACACACACACCCTTCGTTTTAACTGCTGTTTTGAGCTAATTTCAGATAGTGACATTTTTCCACTCTAGTTTAGAGTCACCTTTTGTTGTGTTTGTTTCCTTGAGCAGCACTCCACATCCCTCTGTTCCTCGCCTCAAATTTACATTAAACAGCACTTCATTATTTCTTTTCGTAGTTGGTAACAATTTCTACATCCCAGAACCAGGATTTTATGTTGCTTCCTTTCCCCTCACAAGCTGGATTGTAACAAAAGAGTACAGAAATAACTCTATCAAAAAGGAGAACAATAACAGACACCACACTGACCAGGGTTATAGACCAGGGGGGTATTCCAGAAAAACTCTGAGTAAGTTAACCCTGAGATGAGGGAAACTCTGAGTTATCTGTTCCAGAAAGAGAGGTAACTTAAACACTGGGTCAGTTACTGCGGTAACTTACTCTGTGAACATAACCTGCTCGCTGGCAGGTTTACTATAAGAGACCCAGAGTTTCTACATGTCTCCTCCCACACAAAGAAAGCGATTGAACATGGATTGTCCATTCCTTGAAAATCCGATCGACATTGAAGCCAGAATAATGCGCAACGGTTTACGTCGTGAGAGAATCTTCCAAACCAGATTAGACGTTTTATCATTTCCAGAAGAATTTCTTTTCGAACGCTACCGCTTTTCTTTGAACAGTATAATTTATCTAAATAACCCTCTCCGGATGTATATCACCAATCTCACACACCGCGGACGAGCACTCACATCACATGATTTAAAAAAAAAATGCATATGTGATTTGGTTCTTCTTTATTCCTTAAGAGTACAAAAGCAACAGTCAGGATTTGTAATGTAGTTCCAACCATTAACATATTTCACATATTCACCATGACAATGCACCCACCTCAACTGGCGTTCCAGTAATAGAATTTCCAGGTCTGTTTTAGCAATCTGCCGATCCAGATAGACCATTTCTTTTTTTTTTTATACTTGTCATGAGGTGCACCCTGTATAACTCCTTAACCGGGCGGGAGCTGGGAAACATGAACGACATTTAATTCATTTAGTTCTACATACAGATTTAACATGGTATTGACCGAAAATCTCACTTTGACAAGCTGTGCCGTTGAGGTTGATGGACCCTCCTCCTGGTGATGCCCAGCCATGTTCTGTTGAATGACAAGAATGAGCTAGTTTGTCCATTATTTATGCTCGTCTATTCAGTGTACATGTCAAACTCCAAATTCCCCTTTAGAATGTAAATGAATGGGCACTGCCAGTAGCTATATATTAAGACACACTTCAGGAAGCCCCTCTGGATCTCTCCCTGTGGCAGCAGACAGTGTTTCCTCATCCTCATCCTCCTCCTCTTCCTCCTCCTGTAATGCAGGAAAATATACTGTTTCAGAATACTTTGAACAACCATCTGAGGCATCTGAGTATGTAAGACTTACAGCTACAGGGTTTGTTTCTGTCGGAGGCTGAAGCAGGCAGATGACACCATCCACAACTGTTGGGTGGGTGGATATATATTTGTTAAAAAGTTGGCTATATATATTTATATATTAGTTTTATTTTTTTTAAAGACATAAGTGTATACTTGCATCTGATGTAGGGACTTGTGTCCTGGGGGGTGACAGGCTCAGATGAGCTTCCCCCGGGGATGCCTTCAGCCACAGGGCGACCCCTGTTTTGGCTGGGGGCCAGCTCCTCAGCCTCCGTCAGAGGTAGTAAAGGTGGCCCTCCACCCGTTTTCCGGGCCTCTGCCTTCTTTCTGTTGGCTGAGCAGAAGTCAATGTTTATTTTAAAATAGTATTTTAATCAGTGTTGGTGTAGGCTACAGCGTCACATTTTAAATGACTTCAATAGGTCTAAAATATAAATGTGTTTGTATCAAGTGTTAATCCACGAAGTGTAGAATTAAGTGAGAGGACGTTGAAAAACTACATTTTGTTTGGGGTTTAAATTATTATTTGAAGTAGCCGCTGAATTAATATTTTAGTTTAAATTAATATTGACTCTGTCTAATAGCCTAAGTCCATTTTAAAAAATTAAATTAAAATCAAAGTGAGGTGCAATCACAGCCTAGCAAAATATGCCTTACCTTTTTGAATTATCTTTTTATGTTTCATTTTGAGCTGCTTCCAAGTCCTTTTTTCTCCCGTTGGATTGCACCTAAATGAAAATCAGATTTCATTCCTACTTATATTCATAACTATAGACTGTGCTTCGATCTTATATGTTACGTCAATGGAGTAGTACATTCAAACTTACGCATTGACTCGCGCAGCAATTTTCTCCCATGCCGTCTCTCTCTCCTTCGCTGCTGCAGCCGTGTTGGATTTGCGGCGAAAAATGTTCTCATACTCGCCTTAGGCAAGCATAAGGACCTCCAACTCCACCGGGGTGAAATAAATTGACCGTTTTTGCTCTGTTGTCATGGTGACTCGTGGTATCGGGGCTCCATTGATGATGGCTTTTTATAGTGGTTGTGCACGCGCGTAACTCCAGTGCTGCGTCCGAACTGCCCGCTCGGATACTACATGCTACTGCTACGTGCTACTGCTAGATCCTACTCCTACATACTAAAAACGTTGGCCCAATTCGGACACACTAGACGAGCGGTGGGGAAAGACGACCCCCGCAGGCAGAGAGTAGGTACTGCGCCTGTGCAGACAGTGGTAACTGAAGCCCCTCATCTGCGGGCCTGGCTGTAGTACTGCAGCTGTGCAGTTTAATGATGGAATAAGTGAGCTTTACCTCCATGATGTCGCCACTTGCTCATAAAATGATTACTTGGGCAAATATGACACCATGACATGACAAAGAGATACAACCGCACATTTTTTAGGACAGTGTGTGAAGTTACATGAAACTTACATCTGTACTACTGCGGTCCCGCCTGCTGCTGCTGCTCCGACATGGTGCGCGCTGCTGTGGCCAGCCGGCGTTGCGACACTTTTAAATAGGCAGAGCAGCTGGTGGCGCTAGCATCACATGCGCTTCTACAACTTTTAAGAGGACGAAGAAGAAGCCCGCGGTGCATTTTGGGTCAGTAGCATGCCCGTAGGATGCACCGAGACCAACCTACAATGTGGGCGTGTCTAGCATCTGAAGTAGTATCTGAAGTAGCATGCTACTCGCTCCGGTGGCCAATTCGGACATGCTAGATACTACTTCGACTACTACTTCGACTACTACTTGGCAATTCGGACGCAGCTCAGGTTATCATACTCAGAGTTGATTGAACTAACTCAGATCAGCTGTTCTGGAACCGGATACTCAGAGTCTCCCATCTCAGAGTAAGTCAACTCAGAGTTCAGGGATAGACTCAGAGTATGTTGAACCTGCTTTCTGGAATACCCCCCAGGGGTCCGTTTCACGTAGGTGGTTCAACAAACTCTGAGTTAAATCCTTAACTCTGAGTTGATCTACTCTGAGTTAGGAAACTCTGAGTTTCCGGTTTCACAACACCTGATTTGAGACGGTTTTAACAACTCCGAGTAGTTTGACCTGCTGCCCGCTCGGATACTACATGCTACTGCTACGTGCTACTGCTAGATCCTACTCCTACATACTAAAAACGTTGGCCCAATTCGGACACACTAGACGAGCGGTGGGGAAAGACGACCCCCGCAGGCAGAGAGTAGGTACTGCGCCCGTGCAGACAGTGGTAACTGAAGCCCCTCATCTGCGGGCCTGGCTGTAGTACTGCAGCTGTGCAGTTTAATGATGGAATAAGTGAGCTTTACCTCCATGATGTCGCCACATATTTGCTCATAAAATGATTACTTGGGCAAATATGACACCATGAAATGACAAAGAGATACAACCGCACATTTTTAGGACAGTGTGTGAAGTTACATGAAACTTACATCTGTACTGCTGCGGTCCCGCCTGCTGCTGCTGCTCCGACATGGTGCGCGCTGCTGTGGCCAGCCGGCGTTCGCGACGCATCTAAATAGGCAGCAGCTGGTGGCGCTAGCATCACATGCGCTTCTACAACTTTTAAGAGGACGAAGAAGAAGCCCGCGGTGCATTTTGGGTCAGTAGCATGCCCTTAGGATGCACCGAGACCAACCTACAATGTGGGCGTGTCTAGCATCTGAAGTAGTATCTGAAGTAGCATGCTACTCGCTCCGGTGGCCAATTCGGACATGCTAGATACTACTTCGACTACTACTTCGACTACTACTTGGCAATTCGGACGCAGCTCCGGAGTTAAGCACGTGCACGCCAGACATAAACAGCCAGCATCTGTGGAGCGCAGATTCAATGATCAACCAATGGAAACAGGGAGAAGGAGGGGGCAGCAGCAAGCCAACAGCGAATTACAGCACGTTTTTAAAAGAAAGTGCAATACAGCAGCAGCTGCAAAGGAGAGGGAGAGGGCTTGGGAGGAAATCGCTGCTCGCGTCAATGCGTAACTTTAAATCTAGTCTCGTGCTATCACAATGACAGACTGTTGCAGGGAAACTGCTTGAATCATTTTGATCATGTTTTACATTGTCAAGTAAGTATTAAGTGGCAGTTTGATCCCTTAGAAAATGCTCTTTTCACACTCAAAAATGAATTTTACTCTCTTATGATGTTCCGTTAAATGATTAGGAATATTACACTAACTCTCAGTATGTATATGTACATATATTTAACTAACACACACTACATTCAATATTAGACTTTCACTCAGCAAACAGAAAGAGGGCAGATGCCAGAAAAACGGGTGGTGGCCCAGCAGCCCCACCTTTAACGGAGGCAGAGGAGCTGCCCCCCCCCCCCCCCCCGACGATCGCAACCCCCACCCCGTAGCAGCGATCGTCGGACTGGTGTGCGTTCGCGTGTGTGTGTGTGTGTGTGTGTGGGGGGGGGGGGGGCAGCTCCTCTGCCTCCGTTAAAGGTGGGGCTGCTGGGCCCACCTCTCTTTGTGAAACAGGTTAGAGTTACCCCTCTCTCCCTGGTTTAACTAACCCTCCTTTGTGAAACGGAAAACTCAGAGTTTCCCTGATTTCAGGGTTAACAAACTCGGAGTTTCCATTAAACCTGCTACGTGAAACGGACCCCATATCAGGAGTAGGAGTCGTTTATATCCTGGTTAGTTTTGATTTTAATTTTCCAGTGAATCAGCCTGATACAAGCTACTTAGGTCGGAGTATTTTTTTATCGACAATTGTTGGGTTTATTTACACTGATAATTGGATCGTATTAAGGTTGCAGGTGGAGTTTGGTGATCACAGGGTGGGCTGCACAGGTGAGCTGACCTGTCCACTGCGTGTGGAGCTGGAAGGAGCTTTACTGTGATCTTTATTTTTATTTACGCTGATTTGATCCTGTTTGACTTTGCCAGTAGACTGAAAGTTTAAAATCAGAAATTCAGATATAACCTGTTAAATACATTGTGTGCACAATTATTAGGCAAGTGAGTATTTTGATCATATCATCATTTTTATGCATATTTTCCAACTCCAAGCTGTATAAACTTGGATGTTTATTGGATATAAGCATATTAGGTAATGTGTATTAGTGTAATGAGGGAGGCTGGGGCCTAAGGAGATCAAAACCCTATATCAAGGTGTGCATAATTATTAGGCAGCTTCTTTTCCTCAGGTAAAATGGGCCAAAAAAGAGATTTAAATGATTTTGAAAAGTCAAAAATTGTAAAAAGTCTTTCAGAGGGATGCAGCACTCTTGAAATTGCTTAGATATTTGGGTGTGATCACAGAACCAGCAAACATTTTGATGCAAATAGTCAACAGGGTCGCAAGAAATGTGTTATGAAAAAAAGACGCAAATTAACTGCCAAAGATTTGAGAAGACTCAAACGTAAAGCTACCAGGAACCGCTTATCCTCCAGTGCTGTCATATTCCAGAACTGCAACCTACCTGGAGAGCCCAGAGGTACAAGATGATCAGTGCTCAGAGACATGGCCAAGGTAAGGAAGGCTGAAATCTGACCACCACTGAACAAGACACAAGTTGAAACATCAAGACTGGGCCAAGAAATATCTGAAGAGAAATTTTTCAAAGGTTTTATGGACTGATGGGATGAGAGTGACTCTTGACGGACCAGATGGATGGACCCGTCTGCATCTTTCAAGAAAACCATGATTTTTATGCAGGACAATGCTCCATTGCATGCAACAAAGTACTCCACTATGTGTCTCGCCAGTAAAGGCGAGAATAATGACATGGCCTCCTTCTTCACCTGACCTAAACCCTGTTGAGAACTTGTGGGCCCTTCTTAAACGGGAAATTTACAGTGAAGGAAGACAGTACACCTCTCTGAACAGTGTCTGGAACAGTGTCTGGAAGGCTTTGGTTGCTGCAACACAAAAAGTTGATCGTCAACAGATCAAGAAACTGAAAGACTCCATGAATGGAAGGCTTATGACTGTTATTGAAAAGAAGGGTAGTTACATTGGTCACTGATTTTTTTTTTTTAAATTTCAACAATTTTTATTTGTAAGTTGAGTTGTTTGTTTATCATTCTCACTTGAACAAGTGGAAATAAACAAGTGAGATGGAAAATTTTTCATTTTTAATTTAGTTGCATAATAATTCTGCACACTAATAGCTGCCCCCAATAATTGTGCACACATAGATATTCTCCTAAGGAAGCCAAAATCTCACTTTTACTCCCTTAAATATTAAGGTTTGAGGTTTATTAACATTCTGGATTGACCGAGAGCACTGCAGTTGTTCAAAAATAAAATTTATCCTCAAAAATACAACTTGCCTAATAATTGTGCACACAGTGTAGATGATGAACTCTACAGATCAGTAAGGATCAGGATTTTATCTTCTGAATGAGACACATGTTAGGAGCCATTTCCTGCATTTCCCATTAAATACCTATACTACACTAGTACTCTACTTTTATATGTTTGTTTTTATTTAATTTAATTTCAATAATAGTGTGTTTCTGTGTCGTTGATGAAAAGTGTCGTTAAAGATAAATGCAATCACTCTTCTGTAGTTTTTAGAGATTTAATGAAACTACTTTGGGTGATTTTTTTGTTTTTAGTACAAAATAAAAAATATGGTTATCAACCATTTGGAACAGAAATATCTCAATGGGAATTTTCTGCAGTACTTTTAACTTCAGAACCACTGGAAACAGATGAGATGGCGCCCCCTGTTGACAGCCATTTTGTACATGGAGAGAAAATTAAGTGACATGAATTTAGCAGACTTGTGCTGTTGAAATTTCAATGTTTTGACATATTTTCTGTCAGACAAAATGATTTTTACAGAGTTTCTGTATTTTGTTGTTTCAGTAAGAGAAGCTGGTTTTACTTAAGGGTTTGTGTTGATGCATCATGTGTCAGTTTGAAGGACTTTGTGTATGTCGCACTTCGGAAATAATATCTGAGAGTAGAATGGAATAGAGTTACTGTCATTGCATCAGATGCAAAGATATTTAGTCTGCAGCTCTCAGCTGTGCAACATGAAGAAATGTAAGAGGAAAAGGAACACTATAAAAACACAATGGTGCATAAAGAAGTAATTCAAACATAATAAATACAAAATAGTTGAATAAAATCAGAGCAGTCGCAGCAGCTGTATCAGTCAGTATTTATTGTGCAAGAGCTGTAATAGAGCAACTGTGCAACAACTAGAGTCCCTGATCCAAGGCATCTCAGTGGACTGTCGGAAGATCAGCTGACAGCTTTCCTGTGGCAGAGTCAGGTATAAATGTCCTTCAGCACTTAGAGCTGAGTCTCAATGATGTGCTGCAGAGCTTTTCTGCAGCTGAGGTACCGAGTAAAGATGATCTCAGAGGAGCAAAAAGAAGTCTGTTTGGACCGTCCAACCTCCTTCAGATTCCTCTGTTTGTCTTTCTTAGCAGGAGTAGGAGTGTTAATGGTCCATGCGGTCCCCAGTAATGTTAATGAACCTTAGCTGCTCGTTCTCTCCAGCTGTCACCACTGATCTTTAACAGAGTGAGGGCCGGTGGTCCAAAGAGATCCTAATAAAGAGAGACAGAGGGCTCTATTTTCATGTCCGCCGGTGAGGCTGCAGAGGGTGACAGACCCCACGCAGTGGAATTTTCATCTGGCGGAGCCTGGCGTACAGCCAGTTTGGTATTTTTGTGACATGGAGGAGGGAGGTGTCGACAGAATCAGCAGGCGCAGTGACATTTTCGTGCTTGCCGGTGGTGTATAAAGTGCACTGAAAGCTCGCCGATTCAAACCTGGTCAGCTTTCAGCGCAGGCAGAGCGCAGCTGGTCT